GTGTGAATATAATGGTATATGATGGAAACATGCTGGGACTATCATAATAGGATGGTATATACATAATATGGAGATTTATAATATGGTGATGATAAACAAATATGGTGATAATGGGAATATACAACAATAAAAATAACATATTGATGCCTCTAAATATTGTTACTAAAACACTTTTATATAATGCAATATGTCAATATGAATTTCATATACAGTAGTATATATATATATATGTATATACACAATATAATGTATTATAAATAATATTCTATCTTAATTGGTTGGTATAGTGTATTCCCATACTATCTACTGTTTATATTAGTTCATTTATGTATAAATATATATATATATATATATATAATGAGACTGGGACAACTTGCTCTGTGAACCAGTTTGAACATAATATCCAGGGTCATTGATTATTGCGAGGGTCCTTACTTATATAGTGGTTTTCATTTTGTCTGACCCTAGACATATTATCGAAGGAAGTTTAGAAGTCAAACTTCCGACAATATGGACAGATGAAAAGCAGAGCAGGGCAGAGGCAGAGAGAAGAGGAAGATTAGAAGAGAGAAGATCAGAAGAGAAAGGGTAAGAAGAAAGAAGATGCAGATGCGCGAAAAGGTAGGAAAGTCGCGAAACACTGTGTTTTTTCCAATGATTTGTGGCTCCGGAGGGTCGAAAAGTAGGCTCGCTAAAGCGGCGGGTGCGGAGCCAGCTGGCCACAGGAGCGATGAAAAATTGCGCGCCGTTGTGGCGCGAAGCACATTTCGAAGTCAAAAGTGTTAAAAACTGGCGGTCTCGGACCACTTTTGGAAGTTGAGATGTCAAAAAAGTGCACGCCGTTGTGGCGCGAAGTACATTTCCAAGTCAAAATGTACAAACACACCATTGTCGACCACTTTTGGAAGTTGCGATGTCGAAAAAGTGCACGCCGTTGTGGTGCGAAGCACATTTCCAAGTCAAAATGTACAAAACACACCAGGTCCGGACCACTTTTGGAAGTTGCAACACACCATGCTCGGACCACTTTTGGAGGTTCAGATGTCGAAAAAGTGTACGCCGTTGTGGCGCGAAGCACATTTCGAAGTCAAAATGTACAAAACACTAGGGTTTCGGACCATTTTTGGAGGTTCAGATGTTGAAAAAAAGTGTACGCCGTTGTGGCGCGAAGCACACTTCGAAGTCACACTACATTACAGTACATTACTCCTCCAGTACACTCCACTACACTAAATTACACTACACCACACTACATTACACTGAATGACACTGCAACACAGATAGACAGGTAGACAGCTAGACAGATAGAGAGATGAAAGGGAGAGGGAGATAGACAGGTAGGTAGATAGATAGATAGATAGGTAATTAGATGAAAGAGAGAGAGAGAGAGGGGCCAGCTGGGTAGATGAGATAGATAGATAGATGATGATAGATGGCTAGACAGATAGACAGACAGAAAGACAGACAGATCGATAGACAGACAGACAGACAACCAACCTCTCCTATAGGTTTCCTATTTTTGAAACTTCCGCCACCGCCTTGTGCGGTACTACTGGTATATATATATATTATATAAATATATACCACTATACCAAAAACAAATAATATACATGTATATATATATATATATGCACCTCATAATTATAAAAAACCCATATATATATATATATATACACAGTTGCATACCACTGTGCCATTTGAATAAATAAATAAATAAATCCATGTATATATATATATATCTAACCTGAATATATATATATATATGTATGTATATGACCTGGGCATATTACATTTCAAATATCATAATATCACCTATATCACAAATATATAATTCTAGGTACCTTACAACAATTCTAGATACATCCTGGAATATCTCAACTTTCTGGGTCTTTGGATGTAGGGGGCCACTAATGTGCAGTTAATGACCCTGGAAAGAAAAAAAGACGGAGTCCCACCTCCGGCAGCTCGATGTCCCGCACTAAGCGATCGCGGATCACCACTGAGACGTTGCCGTCCTGGCCATTGCAACAGGAGGGCTCTTCAACATGTAAGTTGTTAATTGATGAAAAAAGGTTTAAACACAATTACGAAGATGGAACATTTGGGAATGTTCACTTAACAACATGAGTTTGTAGTCAAATGTAATCAACAAAAAAGTGGATATAATATATATATATATGCAGTAGAAATTAGGGATTCAGCAACAGTCAAAGCCGCCGAGTCCATATGTTTCAGCCCATTTCCAGGTGTATCAGGATGACACAAACATTATTTGGGTTGAGGCTTTAAGCAACAAACATAGGCTGTCATTGCTGGAATCAGCACTCATGATCAAAAAATGATGTATGTGTCAAATTGAATCCCCCAAATAGGAATGCTTTCCAAAGAATAATAAACATATGTGGTCCCCTTTGTCTAAAGCAATGACACCTGCCATCACCGGGGAGCTCTGTCCTGCCAACCATTAGGTGTCAGGTACTGCAATTTGGCATCCTGAGAGGCTACAGGACTCAGCTACGCCGGGAGTGGTTGTAGATCATAACTGGTTGGTGGTTTCCACCCCTCTGAAAAATATTAGCTAGTTAGGATGGTTATTCCCAATATGGAAAAATAGAAAATGTTCCAAACCACCAACCAAATAAGGAAGTAGTGTAGATCTTCACACCACCGAGTTTCCATGAGTTTCCTTGTAGTTCCTTTTCAGACATCATCTTATGACTAACCTAACCACTCTGAAGCTCTCCACTGCGAAGCTCTGAAGTCACCACTGGCGAGCTGCGAAGCTGTGCGGCTTCCGACCAGCAATACGCCGATCCACAAAATCTCGCCAGCTGTCACTCCCGCTCCATCTTCCGGAATGGTTGGTTGGTACATTCATGAAAACTCGACAAAGTATTTCAAATTGCTCAAAAATTATTTTGACCCCAAGGGAAACGTGTTCCCTGAATGGTTAGCCTGTTATTTCTGCCAATCCTATAATTGAAACGAGACGAGGCGTGGAGAATCAGTTCATTGTTTTGAACTCAGAAGAGTTCGCAGGTATTTACACGACATGGGGTTGTCCAAATATGGAGGACGCACCAAAATTGTTAGTTTAACGAATTTCATGGGAACATACAGATCGACCATTCAATTGTATAACATATATAACTATATTCAATTTGGGTTATATATCATGCTTATATCATGTTGTATCCCATGTTCAAACACATCCATGGTGGTTGATGGATTTTGAATCAGTGAATGGGTTTAACACAAGCCACATCAAACCAGTGTATTTGGTGCAATTCGCTTGTTTGTCTTATCTCCGAGGCATTCATATCCTACCTTCCATATATCTCCCAGTCGTCGTCTGTGGTGCACATCCCAAACCATGGAATTGTGCATACGCTCTTTGAAAAATGTTCGCCTACAATGACTTCTCGCAGTTGGTTTGCAACTCATATTTCACTAGGGTTTATGGATCTTTAAGGATCTGTATGGTAGTAGATATATTGAACTTGTTCATGCGGGCAACAGAAACAAACTGAGGAGCACCTCCTTCGAAGTCTTCCAAGTCTTGAAAGTCAAGGGTGACCCAAAGTTCTACTGAGAGTTATTGGTCATTAATGTCTTCTCCCCATGATCTTCCATCATATTCCCATGCTATCCTCATTTGATGGCTAAATAACTAATATATCCCACATCAAAGGACATCTAAGCTTAATATCACATATGGTCATATGGTCATATGGTTAATAAACAACATGCTTAACAGCAAGTTTTTCCTTACATTGCCCTACATTTTTCCCATAGAATGGTTGGCTTTGTACCCCACCAGGGACGGGTAAACCAGCCACTCTCCGACCCTGCAAGATCAGGCTCGTTGGCAGCAGCGGCGTCGAAGTCGCCCTGAGTCGAAGTGAACAATCCAAAGGTTTTTCGCAAAAAACAGAGAAATATATGGAAACATTGAGGATACACTCTTGTTTCATCAAACCTGACAACTTAGAATCCAACAAAAACACTAATAGTATCTAATAGTAAATTCATCTATATATAGTGCTTATCAATGTTTATCTTAGCAAACACGAGTCATGGTTCATTTTCCAGAAATGTTCGAGTACGGGCCTCGTCTGAATGCAACTCTGTTAGATTCATTGTCATTGTGAGGGGTCTATTCATCCACATTTTTGTTGTTCAATGGGTTCAATCCTTCCATATGTTGTTGTTTACATGCCCATTTTTGTTGGTTGAACCATACCCATGGTTGATTGTAACATCCGATGCTTGTTGATAAATTCCACTCAAATGGTTTGTTAGTTTGGACGCATTATTTTGGTGTATACACATTGCAATTGATACATGTGTATACCCCATTATTATTGTTGTGATCATTACTACCAAGTTCTCAATGATACCCACCATCATATCGTAAGTTGCAGTGTCATTGAAATCGTCTACTACTGTTACTGTTTGTCATGTTATTGTGTATACAGACCCCATTGACACGTGACAACTTCATCAATTCACCATCCTGAAAATGGATCCAAACGGTTCGTTAGTGGGGATGAATGCACACACTATCTAACTATTATTACCCTCCAGTAAATTAACATAGACCCTGGCAGATAGGGGATGGAAGATTAGTTTCCATTAAAACTAGGCTATTTTCAGGGTCTATGTAAATTTACCACAGGGTAATTCTTACTATCTTTTGAAATTATGGCAGACCCCAACTTCAGAACGGTTAAATCATGCCATCGACTTGGTGGAGAAACCACTGGCCGGTCATTTCTCGACTGGGCTTCCAGGAATGAGTTGACGTCTCACGTGAACTAACTACTGTATAGTTCATAAATAGAGTTTAAAACACAAGCATATATTTTTATAAGAAATATATATATATATATCACAATTATATCATTATATATACACTGTAAAAAAACAAAAAATAAACTATTATATACTAATCGAATCTAATCCCACTTATATAAACTATTCCTAAGTTCCTCCCCACTTTAACGGCTCCCGCCGGTGCTCCCCGCGCTCGCCTTGGTCAGGTCCACGCCCACACGAATGCGGTGCACGCGCACGGGCGTCTCAAAGGAGGCCACCAGAGAAGCTTCGCTGCAGCCAGCGGTTCCACACGCACCTGGCCGTTCCCAGATGGAAAAAGAACTAGTACCATTGATGCTATATGATTAGTCTTGTTAATATGGGTTGTGTAGATTCTAGATATGTGATTGTATTCTTATATATATATATGTATATATCATATAATAAAAAAGTATAATATATTGTATTATATTGTATTATATTTTATTATACTATACTATATTATATTATATTGTATTATATTATATCATATTATTTTATTTTATATATGATATACATAGGTCTTCGGGGATATTTGATCTATGAATCTCCTTTTCGGATGGTATGAATGAAGGCCAATAGCATGCTTAGAAGCTGATTGGAGCCCCGAACCATACCATTTCAGTACCAAGAAGAATACATCGCGCGCATTGGCGCGGTGTTATTATAGTGTATATATAGATATGATCATGTATAATCATGTATATATATATATATGTTTTTATATGTTACTCTTTTGAACAACCACCCAGAGGATTGAGTTTGACCGACCAGCTATACCTATACTCAGATATACTCAGAGAAAACAACACAAACATATTAGATCATATTAGTATGGGTATGAAATGGTATGAATAGTTTGATTTCTTGGGTCAATGGTAAATTCAGGATCCTAAAATGGAGGTACTGTACCATATGTTTGGCCATATTTTGTGGTGATATTCACTTACATAGGCCTAAAAAATAGGCCTTATATATGGTAGGTACCTGATCCTGAAATTACCATTGATTGGAGACTCGGCGCACCTGCTCCGCAGGAGAGGTCAGGGGACGTCAAGGCCTCCAAACGCATGATGGAAACACCGATGGACCCACCAATCACACAAGATGCCCCCAATCCTTAGCTAAGTTGGTTTACTTCAGTAGGTTTGCCTGTTGGATGTTATGGGTTTTTATGGTATGTATAGGGGACTAGAATCCAAGCATAGGGGCCTGGAGGCACCTGGTAGGACAACCAAAATGCTTGGGAAAAAATACCTATAGGATCCTCAAGACACCCCAATAAAGATCAATAAAACCCAACATAAAAGTCAAAGGACTCATTTACCCCGCGCGGGAATTGAACCAAGAACAGGTTTGCTGCTTAGGTGGCTTTCCTGAGACCACGTGGTCTTGAGGATACTGTGGTGTGCCACTTTGGTGTGGCTGTTATGGTGCTGGAAACTCTGTTGAAGAGCACCTGACAGACGGCTCTTGAAGCTAGGGCAGAAATCACTACCTTGCCGTGGGATGCACCATTTCGGTGGAGGACTCTGTGGACGTTGGATCCTCGCTTTCATTTCGAAGCTGCATGAGAATGAGTGCATGACTGCATGTTTTTGAGCAAAGAGGGTGGCCCTAGTTGGCACAACGAGTTGCCCTAGATGGCTACAAGTTTTTGCTTTCAGTTTGATTTCTACGTCTGATTTGAATGTGGGATCAAGTGTCACATCCCGTGGGGCGGCCGCCACTAACAAAATATGTTTTTCTTCTTCTTCTTTTTCTTCAAAGGACTCATTTACCCCCCGTGTGTCCATTGTGTTCCCCACTTAACCCAGGGCTAATCCACAAGTCATTGATATTAACCCAGGTTTCAACAAGTGGGTGGTATAATCCAATCTGGGTAAATTATATTATTTCACTAACCTGAATTAGGGCCATTTGGGGATGATTCCCCTGACTAACCATTATTCCCAGTGAGGTCGCAGTGAGGTCGTTATAATTTACCCAGTATAATCCAATGTATATCCATGGATTGGATGTCTGGTCGGTTCCCAGCTCCCCTGCTATGCCTGGTATGTCGAAAAAAAAACCGCATGTGGAGGATCATCCCAGCGCTACTGGTAATGCTGGTGATCGTAAGTCCCCATTCAGTGGGTTATCCCATATAAATAAATAAAATAAATACCTAAACATATGATATATATATATATATGGTTTAACTATGGTTTATATGGTATATACCTATGGTTCCCAACCAGTTACTTCGGACCGTGGAAGATGATCCTGCAAAAAAAATGGCGTTTCACTTAAACGGCCTCGTAGGTATTCTCCAGGCATTTTTCCGCCTTGGGCAGCAAGGAGAGTTCCCAGCGCATGCCCTTGGCGGCTGAGGGCAGTAGCCTCGCGGATCCCAGGGATGGCGATTCTGCGGTGGTTTTATGGTAACTAGATGTAACTAGATGGTTCTGACTGCATCTTGATTATTGATATTATAATTGGTTTCACAATGGGGGTGATTATATATATATATATGGTAATGAAATGGTTATGACGTGATTATTGATAATTACCAATATATCATAATGGAGAAACCAACAATACTTCGGTCTTCAACGGGTTGGTTTTATGGAGCAGGAAGCAGCAGGAAACCATGCCTTCTTTACCGCCCAATGTTGGGGTTCCAGTCTAGGAGGTATTTGGATTCTCTGATTCATGGCTCGGTGCTGACAAACACAGCTTCATTGACATTGGAATAGTAGAAAAGATATCAATAAAGATATCAATCAACCACGGTTAACAAAAAAAACATATATTGTTTTCACACTTGGTCCACGTTTCCGAGAGGATCCCTGGCTGGTTACAGGGGGCCTCAAAAATAACAAAAATGGGAGGTTTGAAAAAATCCATCTCCCAACTTTTGGGGTTGAATTCACCATTCACAACCAGTATGAACCCCTTATTCATGGATGATCCAACAATCCATGAAGAATCACTAGTATTACCCCATCATGAACCATCCTTTTTGGTTACCCCAACTGCAGCCCCGCATGGCCACCCGCGTCACCTGTCGTAGCCCACGGCCACTTCTCGTAGGACTTCCGTCAGCAGAGTACTCGGCAGCACTTCTAACGCGCCCCTGGAGTTCAGTGCAGGGGATCTCAAACACTTAGGTCGTTGAATTGAAAAGATCGAAGGTTATTTATATATATATATATATTTATAATTATTTATATATATAATATGTTATACTACAGTAATGGTGATACATTATATACCATTGTTTGTTTACCATTAAATAGACAATTCACAAATCATTTTACCTTTTCAAATGGGAAATAATGGTGATACATGAAATGGTGACTGATGAAAACTGCTAATGCACCTCAAAACCTGGTGGACTGAAACTTACATTTAAATGCAGTTCAACGAGGTTTACAAAAAGTAAGGCTATGATACCAGTAATATTTGACTTTTAATGGCTATGTAAAAAAATCTAGCGCCACACTAACGCAAAGCTAGCGCCTAGTTGCAGGAAATCCATTTCACTGCATATGTATATACTGTATATTTATATAAAATTATATATATATATATATACACAGGACTCCGCCTTCTAAGAAGATCTAGAACACATCACTGCTCAATTATTTATGCCATCTCGATTTCAAACGGATTCAACAATTCCTTATAAGTATTTTAGAGCGGATCCGATATATATATATATACACAATACATTATACTTGGAAAAGGGTGATATACCATAGATATATGATACTTACACATACTTATTCAGAACATGGTGCCCATAAATTATATACAATGAGGATATAAAAATGTATCATTATCAGATTTGATCAAGCCAACATGATCATATGATGGGGATCAAATGCAATTTAACCCGCACAAATGGGGATGAGAAGGGATACAAGTGGGATGTTAGGGGGATACAATGGGGACAACCAACCAGCAAGAGGATTTAACCAGCTATGACTAGGGAAACTATGGGGATAGAATGTCGATGTACAGTAATTCATGGATCTATAGATAGGGGATATAAAACAACCAACCATATACGATATGGATGAACTTGTCCAAAAATAAAGGGATCGCACAATAGCCACTTTTATACATAAATATATATATATATATCATATATCAAAACAAACATATGTGATTAGCCAAGCAAGTTGGGGTATATCATGTTATATCCATGTTTGAACAAACCCAGATCCAAATCAAACGAGATGTCAGTTCTAACTATGATTTAACTGGATTTAACCAACCCAAAAAACTATATGTGATGTGAATTTCAATATTTGGCCATCAGAACTTGTCATCTTGGTCAACCAACTTTTGACGATCTGCCATCTACCAGGCAGAAAGGACAAGGCCGTTGGCCAAACCAACATTCTTTGTTGATTGAACACCACTGTTGCTTCCTTTAAACCACCGTGTTTGTTCGTTCACCCCCACCCCCCAAAATGGGTTTGGATAAACGGATAACCCCCATTTTTCTTGGATGAAACCACCATTTTCATCAATGTTCCTCGGAAATCAGACGGAAATCCCTTGGTTTTCCGCCCAAAAAACACCAAATCAGAGGAAACCCCTTGGTTTCCCCTAAAAAGAACAACAAAAACCACAAAAAACCACTAGCCCAACTCCTCCCAGCCGACCTTAGAGCCAACTCCTTGAAGTGGTGCACCGCCATGCGAATGGCCCATGTCTTCAGTCGCAGGGCGCCCAGCTCATGGGCCTAGCGATGGGACATGTCAGTGTCTATGTTCTATAACATGTACCCTCTGGTAAACTAACAGTTTGCTATTGAAAATGGCCATAGAAATAGTGGATTTTCCCATTCAAACCAGTGATTTTCCAGTTCGCTATGTTAGTTTACCAGAGGGTATATCTATATGTCTAAAATAGAGTGGAATTACTGTAATATATTCAAATTTTATGTAACTTTTTAGATGATCTATATGGCACCAGTTGTGAGTCAGTGAAATTACTCCATATTTATAGAATGTATAACATTGTATAACCCCTGGTTGGTGGTATACCTACCCCTCTGAAAAATATGTCTTCGTCAGTTGGGACTATGACATTCCCAACATATGGAAAAATGAAACATGTTCCAAACCACCAACCAGTATAACAAGTATATCTATATGTCTGTAATAAAGTGGAATTACTGTAAACTATCATATCATATTGTATCGTATCATATCATATGATATCATACAAATACAAAATAACATCATTGAATATAACATAAACATAGAATCATAGATAATATAATGTCTTATAATGTGCACATGTGTGCATAGACTACCTGCATAGCATTATATATAGCATAGACTAGATATTTGTTTCTTGTCTCCTTCCTCTTGCTCTCTCCCTCGATGTCTTTGAAGCCATGACCCCAGAACCAGGATACCAGGGGGCGCTGGCCTGCTCAAAGCAGTCATAGTTAGGGGTTTCCATAGGGGATCCCCAAAATTGATAGTTTATAATGAAACATCCTATTAAAATGGATAATTTAGAGTTTAGAGGTACCACCATTTTAGGAAACCTCCAGTTCTCTGGAAAGTTTTGAAGCTCCTCAATCTCGGTCTTGGCAGCTGAGAAAGCCTGGTGCTTTATCGACCGCCACGGGTTGCGCACCGCAAGGTTCTCGGATATGAAAAGAGGAGCCATGACATCTTCGCCCGGCAAGTTCAACACCGATGATGGGTTTGTCCTCATGGAGGCACCCGTGAGATCCCACACCTTGGGGGACTTGAGGTCCATGAGATGCTGAAGATCGAGGCACTGAAAAACCATTTCCAGCGAAGCAAAGCATCAAACGATCCATCCTTAGCAACTGCATCCCCCATTTTGTTCATGCAAAAATCAGAACCCCACAATTTGGATGATTCCCTTCCCCTCAAAAAAATACGGAATCCCATGGGCTAAATTTGTCAATTTCCTTCCCAAAAAACCGTCCCGGCATCCAGGTTCCCGTGGCCTGCAGCAACAAATGGATGAAACCATCTTCGTCCTCGCCAGCCTTGGAGAGCAAGCAGCGAGAACGTGATATGGGAAAAAATGGGAAAGTTTCAACAAATCCCTACAGGCCCTACAGTATGGACCTAAGTATAGACTCATTTTATGACTTGGGACAGTTTGAGTAACTCAGGAAGTATGTGGATCGTCTTGACTCCATAGGGATGCTTCGGCATCCACGGTCAGCTCCATAGGGATCTCGTTTCTTGGGATGACCCCTATTAAAACTGCTTGAAAAAAACATGGTTTGGATGGTGGAAATCAGATGTCCAACATGTTCAATTAATATTTCTATAAAAACAAGGTTTGCTTGTGGGCTGAACTTGTTCTGATCAACTATCAAACCACTTATAATATAATATATCATAATGTCTATATATATACATATATATATGTATACACGCCATACATTATCATACAAATATGACCACATACTTACGATGCTGAACATATCATGTTATCATAATATACTATAATTTCATATAATATGTGCCATCGTCAAAACATGGTGCATTGTCTTTGGCCATCCATCACATATCGGGAGTCCTCAAACATCATGGGCATATCAATCGCTATAAAAAAAAATAATCTATTATTCCCATCCCCAAATATGGGTATATCATGGGTATCATTCAACTTGTTGATCAGAAAATTGATGATATATCCCTCATACTTGTTATATCCCCATGAATACTATTTGCGTGTAATCAACTCTATATCTATCTAAATCTCATGAAATCCACATGGTTTCTTAGTTCAATCATGTGAAATCACCATTGTTCCTATGTTTTTTCATGGTTTTTCCTATGTTTCCTACGGTTTTCCCGTGGTTTTTCTATGGTTTTCCACTAGATTCACCCCGGGCCCCACGGCCACCGTGGCCACGGCCACGGTGGCCACGGCCACGGCCACGGCCCGAGGCGCCGCATGCTCCGCCGCCGCCTCGCAGGCGCGGCGCAGCGTGGCCGCGTCGTGCAGCTGCAAAAAGCCGCCCACCGCGTCGCCGTCGCCTGTCATAAGATGGTAGAAGATATAGATATAGATGTTTTGATAGTGTGTATATATATATATATATAATAATGATCATAATATTGTATGACAGGCGATATGATGATGATATAGATATGGTGTAAATTGATGTGGTGTACTGTCATCTATATCATTATAGATACTATTTCATGATATAGTACACCATAGATGATATATGTACAATCTTCTATATGATGTACACCATTCTATATCATTTACACCTGTACCATCTGAAATGGTGTACTGCCATCTATGGTGTAAATTGAATTAAATTGATATGGTGTACTGTCATAATATGGTGTACCATCTGATATAGTTTTTATAAACAGATATGGTGTACTGTCATATTTGTATCATTTTCTACCACTATCTGTATGTAATGTTTTGTAATGTTCAGTAATGTTTTGTTACATCTATATTATATCATTTATATAACATACCTGTAATGTGTTGCGCCTTTTGGGACAGAGTTTGTCGCGGCTGATAATTGTAATATTGCAATACAACATATGTATAGTAAATAGTACTAACTGTGAATATAGTAATATATATATATATAATAATGTATATATAATATACTTGTGTTTGTTGCTAATGTTGATACTATATACAATATAGGAATATTGTATTATCCAATATTTATATGCAATATTGTATTTTCCAATACTTACAACAGTAACACATTGAAATCATTGACACGTATAAAATATATGAATAATATATGTGCATTAATGGTAGCTAATATATATATATATATAATATAATATAATATAATATAATAATATAATAATACTATAGCTGAAGTAATATGAGTTTTATTAACCATAAGAAAGTAACACATAGGAATAAATACACATAAGACATAGTGACTGATAATACACATAGTGATGTATGCAAAGTGTATATTGTTCTAGCATATATATATATATATGTATATTCAACATTGTTTTGATTATTGCCCACATAGCAATTTTCAAAGTAATACGGTATATGTATATATATAACATCTAGAAACACTGTAGCCACAATAGTATTCAATAACAAATACATTATTCCATGCAGTAACACATATAAGCCACTTATGACTAAATTACAATTTACTCAGTTGGTGTAACTATGCTAATGGTTAATACATTATCATATTACTTAATCATATGATTGTTAATATAACATTATCATATATTTATCATATTAATCAATTATCTTATTAATTAACATTATCATATTATTGTCCTCAAGTTTGTTTTTTATAAGTGATTGTTAATTAAGTGTAGTTGAGTATCTTGAGGATGTCACCATAGTTGACCCCGTTTCAGTGTAATATGTTCATAACTTTTACCCTCTGGTAATGGCTGACAGTTTGCTATTAAAGCCATGGCCCATAGAAATAGTGGATTTACCCAGCTATAAAATGGTGGATCTTTCCATAGTTATGTAAAAAGTTTACCAGAGGGTAATATACGTAGTAATAATAAGGGATTTTTGTGTTTCTAGGGGATCTGGTGCCGGGTTGAATATGTGGTTGAATACCTCAAATATCATGTTGAGACTGTGAAACAAAACCAACATCAACAACCATGGTTGGTCGAATATGATTATATTCAAGAACATATATGTTTTTCATGAAATAAACAATAAACGGTTGTGAATTAGTTGTAAATGGTTATCTATATCCCCAAAAAAAATCCCACAGATGAACGTTATATCGTATTGCATCCCCATGGCCCATGAAAATAATCAGCAACACATCTAATCCGAAGTTAGTTATTATCGTATGTGAATCTAAATGTTCAACAATAACACGATAATAAATGTTCTTAAACTGACTATTATATATAATATTATATTATATATACAGTTAAGTTATATATATATATAATGGTTAAATGGTTATCAATATCCCATGATCTCCTAGATAAACATTACATCATATTGTATCCCCATAAACCAGATCTTTGCAATGACCTCCCCGAATCCCGAATCCACGCTGGGAAGGAACGTCGCCTTCCGCGCCCAGTAGGCAAAGGACGTCCATGGCAATGGAGCCAGTGACTTTGCTGGTCTTGCCTGGGCGCGGTCATTTGCACTGCTGGTGGATATATATATATATATACTGTATATACATGGATCGGCATAGTTTTCTGGAAAATGATCTATGTATTACTATCTACAGGTGATTTAGCTATCGAACATGGTGATTTTCCATAGCTATGTTAGTTTCCCAGAGGGTATATTTGGCCTTGGGGTTACACAAAACAGCCATTGGTTTCACCGAGAAACTGCACCCCCGTGATGAGTGTATTCCATGACTAAAGGGGTCGCCGGTGGAATACAGAATCCAATGGGGATTCCACGTCTTGGAGCGGAATAAATCATGAACTGGGTGGTGGTTGACCTACCCCTCTGAAAAATATGAAAGTCAATGGGAAGGATGACATCCCATATGCTATGGAAAATAAAAGTCATGTTTGAAACCACCAACCAGTGAACCACTGGTGATAGAATGGGAATGAATCATGAACGCAGTTTAGCTTGGGACTTCATGGTGATTTTTCATGGTGACATAACTGGAGTTAAAAACCGTTGGGGATGTAACAGGGACAACCGACAAAAAACGTTGGACTTAACCAGCACCCAAGAGTTCTTCACAAAATGGCTTCGAAGTTGTTTAAGCAACACCCCAACAAATATAGAGTTGGTCAATTCCAACTAAAACACTTGGTGAATACCCGGTAAAAATTGGTCTTGTTAACCAATTATATATATCCAATTACCCGTTCTATCTTTTCTGAGGCGAAGCTCGGGTAAAATCAACAAAGCCATGGAAAATCACCATCTTCAATCGGGAAATCATCGAGCTCAATAACCATCATGAACACCATTGTCATTATACTAACATACAATAACAATGAAGAAAAATCATTAATTATTAACAATTATTATCCATTAATCATCATTAATGATCAAATAACTATATATATATATATGGGTAAATTATAATTCTTCACTAACCTGAATCTTGCGGCCATTTGGGGATGATTTCCCTGCAATAAACCATGATTCCAGGGTTCGGGAGAACAGTGAGGTCGCTCCCGCCTGTGTACAGAAAGTAAAGGATCGCCAGCATGGCGTCACGCCCGGGGCGATCCTGGTGGCGGTGAACATCTGCCCGATGAAACCCAGGGAAAACCTTAGGAAAACCCAGGGAAAACCACAGTTAAATTAAAGTTCAATCCCTAGAAACTAGTTTTTTTGATGGTTATGTCTATGGCATTCTACATTCCATCAATGGGATCATAATTAACTGACGTATAACTGGTATTTCAGGCCATAATATTAGGGATTTCATGGGATATTCCGTTGGGATATGTAAAAATCATACGAATTAATGAAGCAAACCTTAGCAAATCCCATGTCCGCTGCGTAGCATGAAGCTGAGCCAAGCTTCACCCCGGTAGTGTTGCAAAGTGACCATCAACGAATTCCGCTCCACCATGTCCTAAACTCGCAGCAGGGCACCCCCTGCTTGAATTTCATGTCCAACCTCGGACCTGCGAAAAAGACATGTTAGTGTTCTTTTTGCTGAATACTAAAATGTGGTAAACCCAGTCATAAACCATCCCATTAACCAATCATTTGGGGTCACTTTAAATCATCCCAAACAGGGGTACCCAATACAAAAAAATTGAATGGAATATTCTTAGGTTTACTACATTATATCACACACAAAATCCAAATGGGTCATGATTTTACCCCTTCATTGATTGTGGATTATCACTACCGATAGCTTCGAGTCTATCGGTGAAGACAAACCTATGAATGAGGCGGGACTAATCCTTGGACATATCAACAAGATCTTGACGGAACAGTTATAGGTGTTTCTATCCTTTTAGTGGGAAGTCACAGGTGGTTTTGGACGGTCACCATTTGACATATCCAAAAAAACCTGTAAATTATAAATGGAGGTTTTAGTGGGAAAATCACCTATAAACTGTTGTTTATACCACCAAGATCAACATTCCATTCCTATACTACTTATATATACCATACATTTACCGTCGATCACCAACTCTCCCATATTCTATTATCCCATTGTTTGTTGGTGGAATCCCATCACAAAATCCCATGACATCACCACTTTTTGGTGCTTAAAATCAACTGCTGCGACCCAAAGGACGGAGGAGAAGGCGGCCTTGAAGAAATCCGAGCGCGCGGACAAGATCACGCTGTGCGCTAGGAACATCTCCTGGAGATGGAAAACGAACGAAAATAACCTGGGAATGTAGCCATGATATGGCTATGGTTATTACACTTATTACATGGTCATCATATGGTGAATTTATATGGTTAGTAATGGTTAAGACATGATTTATATGGTTGTAGGAGTGTATATCATAATGCTTTAGAATTGGCTTATAGTGGTGGGTGTATGGTTTATAATTGGTCGAACAAGTGGTTTTATTGTTGGTTATATAGTGTGCACAAATATAGATTTGTTGGTATCAAAGAAAAACTGTGTATATGTATGTATGCATGTATGTATGTATGTATGTATGTATGCATGCATGCATGTATGTATGTATGCATGCATGCATGTATGTATGTATGTATGTGTGTATGTGTATGTGTGTATGTGTGTATGTCTGTATGTATGTATGTATGTAGGTATGTATGTATGCATGCATGCATGCATGCATGTATGTATGTGTGTATGTGTATGTGTGTATGTGTGTATGTCTGTATGTATGTATGTCTGTATGTATGTATGTATGTCTGTATGTCTGTATGTCTGTATGTCTGTATGTCTGTATGTCTGTATGAATGTATGTCTGTATGTCTGTATGTCTGTGTGTCTGTATGTCTGTATGTATGTATGTATGTATGCATGCACGCATGGATGGATGGATGGATGGATGCATGTATGGATGGATGCATGCATGGATGCATGCATGCATGCACGCACGCACGGACGTATGTATAAAGTAATATCATATAGCAGCAGCATGTAAGAAGCATCAACAAATGTGCCATGGTCAAGTTGCATGGTGTATGGGGTATATGGTCATTCCTCCAATAATGGAATTTGTTTACACTATGTATATAATTCCTATTAACCGGTGGATTACCATCCCCAAATATGGGCAATCTACGTTGACCATGAGACATCAAAACATAGCATTGTTTTTGGTTGGTTGTACTACCTGGTTTATTGGTGATAATTCTGGTCGTTCTCACCCATGATAGGATACCCACAGGATGGTGCCCCCCAGTTATAAGTTGGTTTAGAAACCCCATTAACTATAGTTATATCTGCCATAAACCATAGTTATGGGAGTTATAAACCAACTTAGCTAACTATGGGGCACCACCTTGTAACCAACCAGTACAATGGCATGGGATAGGGGTGTATCTTTCCTGGCTCATATCATTTGGAAAATCTTTGGACGTGGGTGGGCATTGGGTCTCTTTTGGGGATTTCTAGATGTGTGGATGAGAAACACGTTGGTTCTTACCCCATTGTCAAAGCAAACCGCCATGAAATATCAGGGTTGAAGGAAAAAGAATAACTCAAAGCGGGTGGTCAGGCGTGGCGCTCTGCAGTATATCTTCATCTCGTCATTTCAAAAGTCTAGCTATACCCATTTTAGGACAACACGACCAATGGCAATGTTGCTACCTCTGGAGCATTTTGTAACATTGGCCAGAAATTATCTAGAAACTTGAATGCCAAGCCATAAAACTACATCCGCAAGGGGAAAAACAATGAACTTGCCTGAATTTCAAGCAACAAATCCAAACTTTTTGCCTTTCTGGCTGCAAGAAATTGATGTTCTTCATCTGCCATTTTGAGGATCCAAACTTCCCATTCCCTCGCAGTCCTCGCCCACCACCACACGGCAGTCGGGTGCCAGGTCGCAGGGTGATCGAGTGGTGCCGTGCGCATCGTCTTCGCGCTCTTCCTGGCGCCTCAGCCGAGAGCGGGACAGGTCGGCGGATGGCGTCTGGGACAGCCATGGTTTTTTTTTGTGCTACATAATTGTATACATGTATGCAATATGCATAAATATACGTATATAACTAGATATATAATTATATAATATTATATATACATATAATTTGTATGTGTATACCTAGAGTTCATGATGATCAGAATCCAACTTATACTTGGTGAAACAAGAGATGCAAAGAACACTTTTCTTCCACTGACCCTCCGGCCATCTGTTGGTCGGAGCCAAGTTGCGCCACATCGAACAAGCGACTCAGGTCGTTGACCAGAGTACTTGGCACCTCAGTGCGTTATGGATGTGAGGGACACTCAATGGATTGGTTTTAGGGAAAAATTGCAGGAAACAACATATTTAATGGGAAAATCTATGGTTTCCTGTAGATTGTCTCTTAAACCAATCCATTCAGACACCCTAAAGGGGAAAAATGGTACCTGGACCCTCCACCCACAAAAGGGTGTTTTATCACATAATGAACCTGAACTAAAATTTTAACCTCGTTCTTGGGGGGTATCGGGAGGGTCCAGGTACGATGTTTTTTACCCTCAGACAAAAGTAGTTTTATCACCAGCAACTTAAAGGGATGAACGGGTAATCAAAATAAACTTGATTTGGGTAACAGGAAGTCTACAGGAATATATATATATATATATTATATGTAAGTTGTTTTGGGTCAAATCCCTGTACCGGCGAACACCAAAACATCTCTCAGGTATACATGCCTGGGACCGAACGAACAGTTGAGCACCCAAAATAGAAATATCTCAATAGACCAGAAGGTTGAAAGTTGGCAAATGTGATCCATGTACCCAAATCCACCAAATTCGCCACTTGTTCTTGACATTTTCCCATACCTCACCAGTTCCTTTTTTTCCATCAATCATCATCATAATCACCAAAAACCCACAAAATCAGCAAAAAATCACCAACAATCCATCAAAAACCATCAAACATACATATATATATATATACAAATCATGTGTATATATATATATATTATACACATATTACAAAAAAAACAAAATCCACCACGTTTTCCACACTTTTTCCAGCAACTCACATCCTCCCCTTACCCCCAGCCGCAGTCAACGCCCACAGTTCGCCCAGGGCACCGCCGGCGCCGGCCGCGCCGCGGCCAGACCGCCGGGCTCCTCGGCGTCCTTCCAGACGCGGCCCAGGCGGAAGAGGTCCGAGACCACCTCCTGGTGCTTGGACCAGGGGAATCTTACTCTCCATAGCACGAGTCACAAATAGATAGACATAGTAGTAGATACACCTGATAAATAACAATAATAGCTAATGTAGATAAGATACAATAGTAGTATAGTAGTAGATAGATAAATACTGATAGTGTAATACTGATAATGTAATAGACATAGGAAATGAAATAAACTATTTTAGTGTATAATCATTACTGTAATAGATGCAGTTGGTATAAATAGATACATAATGTAATAGAGGAACTATAATATGGATATAGTAATGTATATATGTATAAACATATGGACAATGTAATATAGTAGTATCAAAATACCTGCCATCAATATAGAGAATAAAAGAGGAAAAACATAATAAGCAAAAGATAAGAAAGAATATTACCGGAGAGGTGGTGTATCATAACACTAATCCTGCATACAATGTGATATATATATATATAATAGAGGGTAGCGACATATAGTAACAAATAGATACATATACAATTTAGAGGGTTTACTGATATAGATAGGTCATAGAGCAAGTATGTATATATATATAATATAATGATAAGATGTATTAAAAAACATATAACATACACACTTCGACATATATGTGATATATATATATAATATAGGGTATACATATCTAGTAACACTAATCCATACATGATGAAAATTATGCAGTATTATCATGAAATTAGGTATTACCCTCTATAGATGATCTTATTTGAATAGAAAGTGATGATGGGTTTTACCGGCTATAAATGGTGAACATAGGGAGAATCATGGGGGTTTCATGGAATTTCATGGCTTTTACCCTCTGTAAATGGTGATATAATGGGTATAAAAAGAGTAATATGTTGAGAATGCGTTTTACCATCTATAACTAAATGCTGAAATATTGGAGTATCAGAATATGATTTTGGTCATTTTTAGTGGGATATAAATGGGTAACCAAAGTCTTGGGGATGTAGATGTGATGGGTATATATATATATACATATACATATAGGGAGGTACTAGTTCTATATTCCATGTTCTAGTACTTCCTTATAAATATATATATATATGACGGGTTGTCTTTTTAACCGCCTTGCAGTCTTGCCCCCCTGGTCTCCGGCAGCTCACTGAGTTCTTTCATGAAGAGCTCTGGATGATCCACCAACTGGTCCTGATCCAATCGGAATGAGAACAATCCCCAATGCGAATATGAAAGACTAAGGAGAAGGGGATTATGCATACAGTAAAGTATCTAATAATCTGCAATATCTACATATCATGTTTTCTTTAATTGGTGCAGATTATTGTCATGTGGCTACAGACATTGGTCAAAGAACATCACTGGTCAAGACTTCTAGCAATCTGCCAGTGCGACGGAGCATGTTCGCCTTTCTGTTGCTGGGCCTGTTTGCCAAAGGGACACATCATCAAATTGATTTATGCATATGAACAAATATTTAAAATTCGCCGATATTTTCTATATACATATATAGCTTGGGCTATTTGGTACTTCCACTAAACAATAGAAAATATATGTTCCTATAAAATTGACAAAACCTCCATTTGTTGGGCATAACATGGAGATCCTAACAGAACTGAAGCCGTGCCGAGGAGCGAAGTTGTGCAAGGCAAAGCGCATGCAGCCTTGCCTAGGTTCAAGAAGTGGGTGTAGATATGTATACACACATATTCACAAGCATGCATATATATATATATATACAAGAAAACAAGCACATGTACACAAGTATTTAATATACGTGTACAAACTTACACAATGTGTTTTCTGGTCAAAATAGGCTGTGATTTAAATATAAAGTTTTTAAAAAAAATGTTTGTCACAAAAGTGGTTCCATTTAAAGATTGTTCGTTACAGCTTTAAAAAACAACAACAACATGGTCGCTAAATGTTCTCGGCTTGTGGTTGGCCACCACCCCATAATTTCTACTGTGAAACCTCAAAATGACCTATAGAAATTCAAAACGGGAATCATCTTAAACTTTTCCAGCACTTTAAGATTAATGTTTTTGAGATTCTAGATCAGATTTCATTGGGGGTAAACATCAGCCATGGCTTTGCCTCTCAACAAGACGTCATTAAAAGAAACATTGCTTTTGCCGCTCCAAGTGTAGATCTTTCAAGATCGGCGATAGCCCATGGCAAATTGTTCACTCGATTAAAGTGAAGCACCGATGCCGATGCACCGATTTTCAGAATGAAAAACTTCTGCGAAGAACTTGTTGGGTCAAAAATTGATACCACCGCCTTATTGACATCCGTTTCATTCAGAGGTATTTGTTTGTAAGCGCTCTTCAGGTCACGTGCAGTCGCTTTCATAACGCATTCGCCATGCCAATCTGCGTGCACTGGCCACAAAACTCCATGAAACAAGTGCATTCTCATGTATAGATGGGCCGTCAAAGCGATACTATATAATGATACGTATATAGGCTTCTTTTAGAAAAAAATATCATGAGGCTATATGATGCTATATGAGGCTTATCTTTGTTAATGTTGCCCTTTTGCCAACATTTGCTTCCCCCCCATGTCTGGTTCCCTGTTTAGACTCTAGACACCTTCTCAAAACCAGCCTTGTCTTTGTGATGAAGCACGAGAAAAAAAACAAAGCCCCAATCAGATCCAAACTTATCACCCAAATGATCCCAAATGATCAATGTGCCATACTCACTTGTACTAAATCATACTTATGTGTTTATAATGTGGGTAAAACAATAATAAACCATCCCCCAAATCACCATAAAATAGAATAAAATAGGTTGTATAAATCATTTCCAGCCATGGGCAATTTCTTGCTCAATGCACATCCAGGCCCCATCTTCAACACAGCCACTTGAGGCCCGGAATCTGCCGCACGTGACTCTCCCTGAGCACCGACGCGAACTTCGGAAGATCCAGCGATTCCAAGAGGGTCTCCTCTGATCCGCGATTTCGGGGGAGCAGCCAGCAGCCCCAATGGTTCTCCCATGTTCTCCCCCATAAAAGACCAGTATGGTTGGGGATTAAAACCAGGGGAACCAATGGTTGGGGATTCAAAAGATGCCATTTAAAACAAGTGACGGTGAAATACTCATGGAATAACTGAACGGGTTATATCACATCAAATATGGGAAAAAGCTGTTTATTTCAACGATCCGCCACGGTCAAAAGGTGGCATCATAGAAAGTCACCGCGGATTGATGGGTTTTCTATGGGTGAAGCCCAGCGGGGGCAATGGCCATACACCTTTTCCGGGGAAAAAAAACATGTTGGCCATGGCACATATATTTTTGATTAAAAATAGGGCACCCCCGTTCATTCCTTTTGTTCAGAATCTTCCCTTTTGTTTCATGCCACCTCGGAGGGAAATGCCGACATTCGCTGAAGTCATGATGGATATAGATTTATTATATTTAAAACATTTTAAAACATATATCAAATATACAACAAATGTTTTTCCATTGCTATGTTGGTTTAGCGGAGGATAAGCGGGTCAAGATTCAATCTTTTGTAGAAAGAAGTCAACGATTCGTGAAAGGAGTCAAAACGTGTTTGTTGCGTCCAAATTATTTCGCAATTCAAGATATTAAGATATATCAAGGAGTCAATGCAGCAATACACAGGTCTTCTATGCCAGCGTACTTTGGTTGATATGCAGGACCGAAGAAGACTCACAAGTGTGAACGCGCGGCGCTAACTGCTCTGGTACCCCTCCAAGCTCAAAAAAATGGAAAAATGGGTGTGTGGTGACAAAAGGTTGGTCAATCTTTATCCCTTCTTCAAGAAACGTGCAATATTGCAATACCGTATCATTCACTGGTGTTTAAATGTTCAACCCACAGATGCACAGACATTGAATACCTCCCTGGACATCCTTGGGTAAGTATTGAATTTACTTGTGTTGGGGTCCCCTATTGGACTTATTTATCGTGACTATACATCCCCATCAAATCATATCTGCATGATATCCCCATGATGTACCCTGGGGCAAAGTAACACCGATGTGGAAAAACACATTTCATTAACAGGTAATTCATCCATAGATGGGAAATTTTCCACATCTATGTTCGTTTACCCTCTCCCCATCAAACGGCTGATTCATCTAAAATATGGAGGTTTCCTAAAATGGAGGTACTCCAAAATCATGTTTTTTTTTTTAATAGGATGTTCCATTAACAACATGTTCAAACCATCCATTTTAAAGGTACCCCCCCATTTATGGAACACCCTTTCTTTCTTCCCATGTTGCGCCCAGGCTCTCTCAGAAGAGCTTCCAAACGTTCCACTTCAAACTTGCTACACGCCTCCGTCCAGACGCGTTAACCAGAGGGGATTTTTGATTTCTCATCGGAAAGAGGCGACTTTGCAAGATGGTTTTATCAGTTTGTTAGCTAAGTTGAGACAATTATTCTGCCAGGTATCTTTCATCATGGGGATTCAGGTGAAACCTACGCCAATTTCTTAGTTAGTTTTGGAGGGACTGTTCAATGATATCCATGTCCAAGTGGTTGGCATAGGAAACTCGTTATCAAAAAACGTATAGATAGTCATAACATATCATAACATCATAACCTACGTCAACCTACATCAACCTACTGGGGGTGGAAGAAATCCCATTATTTACAGTGTTTCATAGGAATCCCAATGACCAACTGTCGCCTCCAGCAGGTCGAAGGCCACCGAAAGGCTGATGGCATCGGCTTCCTCGCCACCTAGGGGTCCACCCTGGCAGGTTGGTGATCTAGAATAAGAATGAATAAGGTTTATAGCTCGGAACATCGAAATTGGTGAAATGTCAAATCCATGTAGCCCCTCTTCCCTATCTCTCCATATTTGCGCCTTGTTTTTCCTGATGAACTCCCTGATCCCGGCCCGGTTCCACGTTCCGCCACGGCACCCACGGCGGGCACCGCCTCGCCATAGGCCCAGCGGAGCAGCTGCACCAGGGTGGCGCGAGACACGCCGCTCAAACGCACCTGGTGAAGACCAGGGCCGGCGCCTCTCCTGGTTGGATGGCGACTTCACCAAATTTGTCTATAATGGTTATGGGAATAATTGGACTGTGGTTTGTGGTATGTGGATGGCGACTTCACCAGGATTTTCATGCATAACCTGCTTTGATTGGGATTAAGTTCTGGAGGGATCAATGGGCTGAAAAATCAACCAAGATATAGGTTATATAAGGTTATATTAAGAGGGTTTTAAGAAAACGTTCACCATGGAAATCAGTTGTGCTTTTAAGATATGATTCAGGTGATTTGATTAGGAAAATATTGCGCTGGTTAAAATGGGATGCCTGGGGCTTAAAGGATAGAATAGGATAGGAATCACCATGATGATCAAATGACTATATTAGGGATACATGATGATTGTAGCGGTGAAAAACATATGATAATATACTATCATGTGATGGTATTATTATAAACAAGGGTATATATTACAATGGGGATATAACGAACATGTGAAGATAGGATTGGATTTCATCAGCAATATAGTGGATATTGGGTAATTATCAAATGTGGTATCCTATGTATACCTGCATAGGAAAATGGATAATGTGATATTTGGATCAGTGGATGACCCCCTACGTAGCCATTTTTTAGATGGATTATGTGGGATTTATGGAAGATACATCTAAAACTATAGTTATAATGGAATGCAAATTGGTTGGGGATGGGGATGGGGTTGGGGATTAGATTTGGGATCCGTTACAGATGGGGAAACAAATGGTAAATCGGGAGGTAAATTTGACTCAGAATTTGCAGATGAATCAAATATCAATGGACTGCTTGAGGGAAAAGGGAAACCATGTTTTTTTTCCCATCAAAAACGCTGGTTTCTTGGAAATATATACCGCAAACTCTGAACATTCAACCTTTGATGTTGTCTGAAGTCATGCAACGCATGACTAGTGGGGTATCACCCCCCAAAAAAATGAGGTGTATTGGGGTATCGGATATTGATACCCCGGTTACTAAGTTCTGAGTTGATCCTGACAAGAACTAAGTATTGGAAATGGCCCATGTCTGAGGAAAACTGATGGATTCCGTCTGTTGAAGCCGTCTGTTGAAGCAGGATGGGCATAAAGAATTGAACATCCGGAAAACATGAATATATTTATATATATATATATACCACGTTGATTGTAGTACAAAGCAACAAACAAAAAACAAAGTGAACTCTCAGTTTTTAATGATTTGATATATTGGTTAGTGTAATCCACCATACCCTCCGCTAATCAAGCATGGCGTTGGAAAATCGCCTATACATGGAGGTTGCTGGGACAATGATGGAACAAAATGGTGGATTTTCCAGCCAGCCACGTTTGATTACCGGAGGGTAATCATCGATTAACAATGGTTTTGAATGGGTTTTGAACATTGTATTCCCATCAATATCTCATTGAATCCCTATTGTTTAATGATATATCATTCATTATTGGCCAACATATGTTAAAGTAGACTAAACACTGCAGTTAAAGAACTATTATTTTGCATTGTTAATCAGCATTAATCATTATTAATCATTGTCAATCATGACTAATCATTAACCATTAGCCATTCATCATTATACATCATTTATCAATAAAAATATTGACCATTCATCATTATCATCAATTACTATGGTAATATACATGGTTGATTGTACACAATGATTAACCATTATGAATTATTATTAATCATTACCATCAATCAAACACAATTTATCAATATAATCCAAATCATTTAATCAATAAATCAACCATTAATTAACCATGTCATTTACCAATTTATCAACCATTGTTAGCCCTAAACAAAAACAGGCGGAAGGCCCGCCGCCTGCCCCGATCGTCCACCAAGAGAGCAGGATCTGCTTCTCCCAAGGCCTGGAACTGGTAAAACTGTCACTACTTTTAGTGGCAAAAAATGCTGTTCTATCGTTTTTGTTTGATATTATATATATATATTATATTATATATATGTATGTATTTATATATATATGTATGTATATATATATATAGTTACTGTTATAGTTGTGATAATCACTGTTGTCATACTTGAGTAGGTATTAGTAATAGTTAAGTTATAGTGGCGAAGAAAAATATCGTAGTGGCTAATTTTGGCTAACTATAATGGTTCATTTTATGCTGAACATATGGCTGATTAGCAAATAGGATCATGGCTAACTATATATGATGGCCTTATCTGGCAGTCAAAACCATGTTGTTGGATGAATCACCAAAGATGCATCTTTGGGTGGATAGTTCGACCCAAATGTTTGTCATGGACATCCTTTATACATATCAAAGCATTATTATCTTTGGTTGGTCAGTCAAGGTTGAGCTTTAAGTTTTTTGTTGAACTGAACTCCCATTTGGGCTTGTCTGAAAATTGGAAATACCCCATACCCCCCACACCCCCGCACCCCCACACCCCCACACCCGCACGCACACACACACACAGAACGAACACACACACACACAAACAAAATGGTGAAATTCAGGATCCACCACTGCGTTTTGCAGCTTTTCCCATCATTTTCAGACTTTAGTAACCCCAAAATAGATGCAGAACATGTTCGTTTTATCCCAGCTGCAAACCTCCAATTAGTTCGGGGATTTCCTAGCTAGCCACGTTTGAGTACCTAATGGTATTAATTCACATTTATTCCATGAATATTTCATGATCCCCATCAGCATATCGTTTTATTCTTAATGTATATTCCGAATTTAGATTCTATTAATATCCCATTATATCATATTTTATCCCGATTCTGTCACCATTTGTTTTCATGGATTAGTTTAGCAATTTTTCATTAAAGTCTCACAAAAACATCCCATTCACAATAGGATTTTCCATGAAATTAATCCTATTCATATCCCTCTTGTCGTGTTGCTTTTCATCCGATTTCGTACGGAAAACTCACCGGAGCCTCAGCGGAGGACAGCAGCGCGGGTAGCCGCGCTTCCACCAGCGCCATGTTTGCCACTACAGCGCCTCGGAAAGCGAGCGCAACCAGCGGGGAGGTTCCGATATGGAAACGCGGGATGCTGTGGGCTAGTTGAAGACAAGCATCATGATTTTGGGGTAGAACATTTCAGAATTTTATGGTAGAAAATAAGGATAATGAGGGTTGAGCTGCAAATAATGATGACATTTATGAGAACCTTGAGATCTGTCAACGCAAGAACATGCGGGTTTAATACGTAAGTTCAAGCAACAAACAATGATGACTTTGAATCAGAAACTTTGAGAGTATGATTGTATGACGATTGTACGATCAATGAGGCTGCCAGACTAGGAAAATGAACCAGGAAAAGATGGTCTCATGTTGACATTGAGTGAATGCACGATGCAAGGGGATGTATCACCAGTTAATGATAATAGCACCATTTGTAATTAGGTAATTCACTACAATCAAACATGTGAGTTGGTGAAGAACTGCCTTCAACTCTGAAACTCTTGGCACATGAACTATATTCAGGATCATCGGTTGGAACATGCAACGGATTTTGCTCAACTTGGTCACATCAAGCTGGTTATGATGATAATCCTGTAATGATTACTGTAATGTATTGGATGCTATAACTCCCCTATAAATCGTCAAACAAAACCCAGCTGTAGTATTGGATGGATTCATGAATTGCGGCCCCATATTGAAGGTATTTAGCATGATTCAGTGATGGCATCTCCAGCCCCAAGAAGCCTCAAAGGTGGATGGTGTAACAATGGCCCTTCAATGTTCATCCCTACGCATACGCGGTCAACAAACAGAGCAACGGCAAATCCACCCATTAGTAGTCTGTGTTTAATAAATATGTCAGCTATATTTTTTGGCGCGGCAACCAACACCCGAAAGGTGATGCTTAAACATCCGTCATTTAAAGAAGTGGTCGTCGGCCGAACAGCCCTGCATGCCCTTGTTCTTGGGGGAGGGTCACCTTCGAGTTTCGTTGAATCTCCATGAATATTGCTGTGATATCCCAGCCTTCATTGATGTGAATTATGAGGTCTGCCAACGCATCGTCGTGTCTGTCCTCAGTAAAGTCAGTACCCTCTGGCAATCTGGCGTTTTTTCACCACTTAAACATGGATGTTTCTACACAAAAAGACATACTTGGATGTGCATCCCACTTAGTAAGTCATTTATATTCCATGTATATATCTGTATATATTATACAGTATATAGCCCCTATAATCATGTAAAAGTGATATTCCATATATATATATATATATATATTCTACCCATTTACTAAGTGGGACCCGCGCAAGTTGCAGATGGTAATTATCCATTGCCAAGTGATGTATTTGCCAACTCAGGGTCATCTGGAAATTCCTGTGGCTGTCGATCCAACGGATCCAACGGATCCAACCCCGTATATAGAGTTTTTTGACATGTGTTGACCCATTTACCCTCTGGTTATATATTTAACATAGCCATGGGAAATGGCCCATTTATAGAGGTTTACCTATTAAAAATTGTTATTTTCCATGGCTATGTTAAACTACAAACGGATCTCGCCCAAACGATGGTCTACGTCTGAAAGGAAACTCGGTGGTTGGACATAACCTATGCCCCTATGCGCCTATGCGTTTGACACGCATGCAGTTGCTTGATTCGCTAGTACAAGTGGCTTATACCCCGTTACAAATGGGATACAAATGGGTATAGCATGGTATATAACTAGAGTGGCCCCCAAACGACTCAGAACAACATTAATCTATCGCTATACCTTAGGATGTTGATTTCATGTTTCCCAATCGTTATTTGGGGTTGCTTGAACCCAATGGTTTCGTTACAAATGGGATACAAATGGGTATAGCATGGTATATAACTAGAGTGGCCCCCAAACGACTCAGAACAACATTAATCTATCGCTATACCTTAGGATGTTGATTTCATGTTTCCCAATCGTTATTTGGGGTTGCTTGAACCCAATGGTTTCATAACATTTTTTTACCAAACCTCCATGGCCCATTGACTACGTGCTACAAGGTGGTGTCCCCCCAGTTACAAGTGGGGTTTTAATCCCCCTGATATCCGCCGACCCCGGCTTTCACCAAGGCAGCGGCGGCGCCTGGGACCACCGCAGGTGTGGAGCCTGTTTTTGTTGGCTTGCCACTACCTTGCCGTTGCACTCTGGCGACAAACATTTGTTGTTAGAGCCTTGAAGCTTGCCGTTTGCCTCCATGCACCTCTGTTGTTAGGGCGTTCAAGCCTGCCGTTTGCCAGCCGTCAAATGCAGACAATCCCCTGCGGCAGCCTCGACCAGGCACTCAGGCCACTGCCTCTCTGTTGTTGTTAGAGCCTTGAAGCCTGCTGTTTGCCTCCATGGCCCTCTGTTGTTCGGGCGTTCAAGCCTGCCGTTTGCCAGCCGTCAAATGCCTACACTCTGTTGTTCGGGCGTTCAAGCCTGCCGTTTGCCAGCCGTCAAATGCCTACAATCCCCTGCGGCAGCCTCGACCAGGCACTCAGGCCACTGGGCCTCTCTGTTGCTAAGGGTGCATGTTCGAGGCTGCCGTTTGCCAACCCTCAAATGCTTCGCGGCCCTTTCGACCAGGCACTCAGGCCACTGCCTCTCTGTTGTTACGGGCATTCCAGGCTGAGCCCGCAAATCCCCCAAATGCCTCGCGGCAGCTTCGACCAGCCACTCAGGCCACTGCCTCTCTGTTGTTAAGGGCGTTCGAGGCTGCCGTTTGCCAGGCCGTAAATGCTTCAAATGCCTCGCGGCAGCTTCGACCAGGCACTCATTGCCACTGTGTTGTTAAGGGCGTTCGAGGCTGCCGTTTGTCAGCCCGCAAATGCCTCACATGCCTCACGGCAGCTTCGACCAGGCACTCAGGCCACTGCCTCTCTGTTGGTGAGGGGGTTCGATGCTGCCGTTTGCCAGGCCGTAAATGCCACTCAGGCCACTGCCTCTGTTGTTAAGGGCGTTCGAGGCTGCCGTTTGCCAGGCCGTAAATGCTTCAAATGCCTCGCGGCAGCGTCGACCAAACACTCAGGCCACTGCCTCTCTGTTGTTAAGGGCGTTCGAGGCTGCCGTTTGCCAGCCCGCAAATGCCCCAAATGCCTCGACCAGGCACTCAGGCCACTGCCTCTCTGTTGGTCAGGCGTTCGAGGCTGCCGTTTGCTAGGCCGGAAATGCCTCACATGCCTCGCGGCAGCGTTGACCAAACACTCAGGCCACTGCCTCTCTGTTGTTAAGGGCGTTCGAGGCTGCCGTTTGCCAGCCCGCAAATGCCCCAAATGCCTCGCGGCAGCTTCGACCAGCCACTCAGGCCACTGCCTCTCTGTTGTTAAGGGCGTTCGAGGCTGCCGTTTGCCAGGCCGTACATGCTTCAAATGCCTCGCGGCAGCTTCGACCAGGCACTCATTGCCACTCTGTTGTTAAGGGCGTTCGAGGCTGCCGTTTGCGAGCCCGCAAATGCCTCACATGCCTCACGGCAGCTTCGACCAGGCACTCAGGCCACTGTCTCTCTGTTGTTGAAGGCGTTCGAGGCTGCCGTTTGCCAGGCCGTAAATGCGTCGAATGCCTCACGGCAGCTTCGACCAGCCACTCAGGCCACACTGCCTCTCTGTTGTTCAGGGCGTTCGAGGCTGCCGTTTGCCAGGCCGCGAATGCCTCAAATGCCTCGCGGCAGCTTCGACCAGGCACTCACTCGACAGCCATCTGTTACAGATTGTTATGGCGTTCACGCTTGCGATTCCCGGAAAGCACGGGGAGTGTCTTTCTCTTTCATTTCCTGTTTTTATTTGCCTCTTTGTCGGGAACGTGCTAATGTTTTTTCTGGCATCGTTTTCCCGACGGCGTGCCATGCGTGACCGCAATGCGCCCACATAACTGCGATGACCAAACAACCGTTGAGCACACCGGGCAACTGTGCGCGTGACGCCGTGTTTTCTTGCTGACTGCACCGTCCTTGGCCCATTTCTACCGTGGCCAACCCATTTCTTGGACCACTTCAACAGTTCATTCCATGCCAACATACTGAAACATGCATAGATTCTTCATGGCTTCACTGGGCACACCCTTAGTCACTGGCTTCAGAAGCTGGCAGAGCGTAAGAAACCTGGCAACACCTGGCTTCCAGCAACCACGTGACAACCGCCACTCTGCAGGAACAAACAAACTATTCTGGAGATACGTTCAAAATGGGATATAAATTCAATATAGGATTGGAGTTCAATATGGCAATGGAAAATACCCAGGTGAACTGTCTTCTTCTGGGCCCTGCCTGTCGACCATCTTTGCAGCAGCCGACCGCCCAGCACACAATGGCAGGCCAAATGTCCCAGGCGCCAAGCAGTTTATTGATACTTTGGGATCATAATGTATACCTTTATTGTAATAGTTGTTCATACATAGTCTAAAAATCATCTGTCAATGGGTGCTTTTCTAGATGTTGATCTGTCTACCTGCATCCATAACATATTATTACTCAGAACGAAAATTTACCGGATGGTGTTTTCTTTTGTTTCCTCCTTCGCTACAACTGAGCCATTTCCGGATTAAACTGGCTGCAGTCACCGCCCCCCCCCAAAAAAAAGGGGGTCGGCGGCACCCGGGCGCTAGCCCATTCTATATCAACCTAAGTTACTGGAGTTATGTTCACCTCCTATGGAGGTTTCCAATCCATGGGGGTACCCCCAAATTACTAAAATTTTGTTGGTGATTTTCCATCCAAAAAACAATCCAATATTGGAGTACCCCCATGACTTTGGACAGCTCCTAAAAACCAACTATGGGGATGGGTCAAAAGCTATTGATTAATACCATATTTTGGGAAATGTTGAACTATGATTATGCAGCTATGGTCAGAAAGTATTACCAGTATTTTTGTCAACACCTATTAATTGTTACAAGTATTTTACAATTAACAGTAACTATCGACCAGCTACTGTAATGGTAACCCAGGGTACCTAGTGCCAGGTGACGTAGAAGGCCAGCAGGTCTCTACGGAGGCCCTCTCCGCCACAGGGTCGCTGCGCGGACGGTGACCTTCGCAAAGGCACGGCTGGTTTTGTACGGGAAAAGTAGAGGAATTGACCCGTCCAAAGATGGGGATTAATATGGCAATTTGACCTCTGAAAGCATTGAAGAACTGGATTTACCTCTGAAAATTGATTCATATGGGGATTTGACCTCTGAACAACTGAATTTGTGTGCCCCATATAGTATGCGTTTTTTTTTTTGCTTTGAAGTAGGTTAACTCTTGGGTTTGTGGTAGATACATCGAATTGGCGAACTGGATCAGTGGGTGAACGTAAACCGCACTGTAGAATATTCAAGGCTGCAAGGCCGAGGCCATTTCATCCAGCTGCCTTGGAGATCACCATGCCACCTCCCCATGCCATGACTGCACGTTCCAGAGGAAGTTGGCGAAGCCCTTCCGGTCAATCTCCATCCATCGCCTCCTCATAGGTCATGTAGCAATAGATCAATACTGCTCCTGCCATAGCAGGACTGCAGTGACGTCCTCCGTTGCAGTCCGACAATCATCCCATATATATATATATATATATACATAGCTATCCTGGTCCTGGAATTTACGTAACATAGCTAATCATATGGAGGTTTCCTAGAATCGGGGTACCCTTAAATCATCCGTTTAGAGATTTGATTTTCCATTATAAACCATCCATTTGGGGGTATCCCCATTGTAAACATGGCCAGGTTCCAGGTGCAAGATCCCCATTTTGCATTGGTTAAATCTCCATGTTGGTTAAACCAAACTTTCCTTGGTTCAATCAGTTCAATCCCATTTTTTTTGGTTAAATCACAATTTCTTGCTAGTTAAATCACATTTTTCGTTGGTCAACTCACATTTTTGGTCAAATCAAATGCTTTCTTGGTTAAATCACACATGCTCTTCGTGAAATCCCATTCCTTGGATAAATCACTATTTTCACTATTTTGTTTGTTTAAATCCATTCTTAGTTCTATGATTTCCACTCATTGTGGTACTTTCGCCCTCAGCGACTGGCTTCCCCTCCAGCAGCAGCCAAGATGCGGCAGTAGTTTTCGCGGCCCAGGCAGCCTGCCATGGAACATGGGGCTTGAATGGGCAGAGAATTGGTATGTATCATTGTATGATTATAAGGATATCATGGAATCATAATTAAAGGGATTAGAATGGGGTTATAATACATATATATATATATAATGTGTATATGTATATATATAATGTGTATATATATAATGTGTATATATATAATGTATATATATATAATGTGTATATATATATAATGTATATATATATAATGTGTATATATATATATAAATATAATGTGTATATATATATAATGCATATATATAATGTGTATATATATATATAATGTGTATATGTACATAATGTGTATATGTATATAATGTGTATATATATAATGTGTATATATATATAATGTGTATATGTATATAATGTGTATATGTATATAATGTGTATATATATAATGTGTATATATATATAATGTGTATATGTATATAATGTGTATATATATATATATATATAATGTGTATATGTAAATAATGTATATATATAATGTGTATATATATAATGTGTATATGTATATAATGTATATATATATAATGTGTATATGTATATAATGTGTATATGTATATAATGTGTATATATATAATGTGTATATATATATATATAATGTGTATATGTATATAATGTATATATATATATATAATGTGTATATGTATATAATGTGTATATATATATATAATGTGTATATGTATATAATGTGTATATATATATAATGTGTATATATATATATATCATTTTGATTAATTCTATATGGAATTATAATGGATTTTGTACTGGGATTATAATCCGGGACGATGGGATGATCCTCAATGCAGGAAACCATGGCGGTTCTCAACCCAGGTTTCCGGTTACGTTGTCCCTTAACACTGGGAATCGTTGGTCGTGTGAGAAATGGAACTGTTGGATCCATAGTGTTTATTTGAATTTTTAGTGTGAGAACTAACACTGGGAATAATCCGGTAAGCTATGTCTGAAAAAAATACTATGGATATCTATGGATCCAAATAGCTTCTGAGAAAGTGATTTGGGTATGGGGTCAAGTACCATCTGACATTTTGGATCAGTGCGATATATAACGAAGTCAGCCATCCCATAATGGGAATCATTACTGCTTGGTGGTTGACCTACCCCTCTGAAAAATATGAGTTCGTCAATGGGAAGGATTATCCCATATATTGTGGAAAACAACACATATTTGAAACCACCAGCCAGATTATAATGGGTACATCAGTTCCTAATAACTATGGATTGAAAGTCGTGATTCAACATGGGCATACAATCTTAGACTCTTAGACTCTAAGATTGTATACCCATGAGTCTTAGACCATGGCACTTGGAACAAAGTCTGTCATGGATCAAAAAATGATCCTAAGGGATTCTGAACTGGATCTACTACTGATAAAATCTTGGTTTGGACCCAAGATAAATCGACCGTTTTGTCTGGTCAACAGGATTCAACCTCTGTTTTTCTCGGCTCAATTCCAATTATATTCTGTTTGTAAGACCAGCGTCAGCCATTCTGACTTCAGTTCCCATTCGTGAGAATTTGGTTGGGTCAACCTGCTACAGTTCTGATAAGTTCAACCACCATTGTCAACTCATGAAAACGAAATGTCTTCATTTACTCCCTACGTCGAAAGCAAAACAAAAACGTCAAAACTTCTTGAACATATGATCAATAAAACCATGTCCCGTTCTTTGAATGCTTGTTTGCAGCATTCTTAGTCATTGGATTGGTTTGAGGGGAAATCTACAGAAGGCCCCTCTTTGTTGGGGGTAAAAAACCATGCTTTCCTGTAGAGTTTCCCTTCAACCAAATCCATTTAAAATCAAAGAATGGTTGCTTTCACCATGATCATCTTACATAACCACCATGTTTCATCAAGTTTTCATCGAAAAAAAGCTGTTTTTCTTTAAACGTTTAAGGCGCCACCGTTTTTCGACCCACCGATCCGTCGATCCATCGATCCATCGATCGCCTGGGCAGCAACGGCTCCGACTCGTCCACGGCCAGTTGGAGGGCCTAGGTTCGGAGCCAGGGGACCGTCTGAAATGAGGGTATACACCATCAACTATATCGGTTGTTGGGAAAATCTACTGTTAATAATGGTTAATATATGGCTAATGATGGTTAATAATAATCTGGTTGGTGGTATACCTACCCCTCTGAAAAATGATGGAGTTCGTCAGTTGGGATCTGATTATTCGCAATATATTGGAAAACTGAAAGCCATGTTCCAAACCACCAGCCAGCCATACATCGATAATACATGGTAGTTATACACCCCACTACATCAATCTACAGCATATGATGTACATCAATCTACAGTCTTTACATCATCATCATAAAACTCAGACATATCATCATAATATTATCATATATAATTTAATATCATAATCAATGATCCCAAACAAAAATCCAATGTCCATGATCATAAACCTAGGATCATTTGTATAGAGAAAAATCATGGAATATCAACGGGCACAAAGGCTCAAGGCTGAACAAATGACTGGCCTGGCAAATAACTGGATATATATATATATATATTATCAATCTGTGGTAGATATAAACAGTATATGATATACATATACATATATAATATCATATGATCATCTTTAGAATATAACCAGCAAATAATCTGTGGTAGTCCAGTAGTCCACAAAAAAAAACATATTTTGCTGGTTATGGTTCTTTTATGTTCTTTTCATTTATAGCAAAACAAGCCAAAACAACTAAAGGATTAGTTTCTACTTTTCCACTAGCTATCCAGTTGGTTGGGGAATACATGAAGATGTCAAGCCCTGGCGAGCTCAGAATCAAGGCTCCACCACTACACAGCTATGATAGCCTCGGAAAAGCATTGCTAGTTTGTTAAGTTCTTTCTCGGCCGTTCTCGGCGTCGATGATGGCACGCAATGGCAGGGTGCAGTTCCCAGCTTTTCATGAAGCCTGGTGGAGGCAATGGGGGGTTAGCCCCCACTGCCAGAGAAACATCATCTGCAACAGATGCAATGGTACCCACCAATCAAATAACAAAACATTAAACCAACCATCAAACCATTCACCAGTATTTTACCACAGCCCAATCTATCAGCTGAGTGGGTTTGAATATGTTTGAATCTTCCGGGCTTCATTTTTAAACAATCATCATTCACCCGTCATCAACTGCCCACATCTTCCGGTGCCCCCGAAAAAGGACCAGGTACCGACATCTGCGGCAGCGGCGGCTCAACGGTTTCCACTGTGTCGAACCTGTTTTTTCGTGCGCGGACTTGAGCGAGTTTAGCGAGTGGTTGGTGGCTCTTATTGGGGTTTCAACCAAAGCTGCTTGGGTTTGTGGGAAGATAGGGGTTGAATTGGGATTTAGCCATCGACCATTGGTAATTGAATGGATTTTCATAGGAATATTCAAAGGCATATTAAGCAATCATAAAGATTTTGGTTTGACTGAACATGGGGGATACCCCAGGCTGGTTTAATAGGGAAAATGATGCACTCCATTCTCAAACAAATTGAATCCATGGTTAGACAAAAACAAACGGGCTGGTGCATCCGGTGGTAAAACCAGCATTTTTTGTGCAATAACTATGCTGATATAATACACATATATTATAGATATCATACCCAACCATGTAAATGGATATTACATATATACATATAATCATATACATGTGTGGGCTTGTCATGTCCAAAAAAGGGTGGTACCCCCAATCTAAGGCAATCTTCATTGAGGACATGATGATGACTCCATAGATTTGGTAGTGCGTAACGGTACAAAATGGACTTCACCAGGACACATGGTGGATTAATCCTCGGTTGCCGGGATGGTTGATCAAACAACTAAACTACAATAGGTATAACTAGAAATTGCCAACCACAATCGACACAACACATCATGAAAATAATGATTATGAATGTTGTCTGTGTTTTTAATGCTATATGATGATATCATTGTCTTTTGTGTTCAACAGTAATATAGCATATCATTGTGATTGACGTTATTATCATTATCTTATCATACAACCCTGTAAGAAAAATATCAAACAACATATATCTTGTCATATTTTAATAATATTTTAATAATATTATGATTGTCATGATATGTCATTGTATATATATATATATATATATCATGCATTCTTAGCATGGCATGATCAATCTTATCCATACAAATTATAAACATGATCTCAACCATGATTTAATAACCCAAACCAATTGTCATCCCATTAGATTCCCCCATTAAAATCGCATCAAAAAATCGCCGCCTGGACTCAGGGGAAGGCTCCAGGGGCGCCAACGACTCCATGGCGTGCGAAGTTCACATCTTTCAGTTGACCAATTTCACATAGAATATATGGTTCATAAGTGGTTAATAATGGTTCATAGTGGTTTAAAAGTTATTAGTACTACTCATTAGTTCAAAGAATATGACAACTATAACGATGTTTGAATACATAGAATTTTCATAGAACAGTAGAATGCTAAACTAATATATTAATAGAATATGTGAATAGCATAATACCAAAAAAAAACACATGTATATATATATATATATACATACGACATATATATATATGTATATATATATATACATAATATCGAAATACATAATGTTGTTGATCTACTCCTGAGATGGTGACTTTAGTGTTTGACCAACATCCATGTCGTGGAGCCAACGATCAACGATACCCTCTGCACCAACATAGCGAGGGCATCCCTTGCTGAAAAACCATCCGAGATGATGTCCAAAACCCAACATTTTCCCGCGAGATCAGAGCCTATCCACATCCAATTTGTGGTTGGTAAATGTTGGTAAGTAAATATTCCGAAGATTCCCATGTTTTTATTGGCAATAGAAAGGTTACAGAGTTATACAGTCGGATAGGTATAAATCTATATATATATATATATAATATAGTTATATATAGTAATCGACTACCCGATCCATGCGAGGTTGAACAACAAAATACCACCTCTGCCTGAGTGTTTTTCAGCGCTGATGGACTCGGTACGACCGGTCTTGTGCGTCGCAGGTCTGTTCTTTTCGTCGCGAGAGTTTCGCGCGGGTACTGAGACGCAGCAGTCTCCATGTCATGCTCACTTCACTTAGCTCTTTAAAACACTTAATAATAATAACTAGGTGGGTGGATACTTACTTAATACCAATAACTTACTCAATACTAACTAGGTGGATCTAGGTGGGGGGTTCCAATACTAGGTTCCTAGATTACTATAAGTTCCATGTCATGTCATGGGTTTCTTTCCTGATATGTTTCTGTGTGCAGAAAAGTAGGAAAAGGGTCCAAGTTCTCCCTCAGAGATGCTGCTGAAGCATTGCTGGCTTGCTGTGCTTAGGTGGACAAAGATCAAATGGAGGTTTCCTGAAAATGGGGATACCCCTACATCATAAATCTTAATTACAAGTAATAGGATTTTCCCTTAGAAACCATCCGGCTATTGGGGATCCCCCATTTATTGAACCCCCACATCTTACTCTACGCTACTGCAAACCAGTGCAAGAGAGAAAGTTCAACACTATTGCAACACGAAGGCATTGCAACGATATGCAACGATCATAGAACCAACATGAACCAACATTAACCACCTAGCCGGCCGCTTGCAGTCAATTGTCTAAGAAATGAAGAAAATACTTGAAAATACAGGAATCAACTCAGCACCCAAGGAAGCGAAATGCCAGTAATGCCCGCATTACGATGCGGTCAGGCAATACATATATAAATTCTGGCGTTCTGTCTCGCTTCCCACATAATTCGACTAGCAACTCGATGGCAAAATGGCACGCGCGAAAGCCAAAGCAAAAGGTGGCTCAGTCCATTGTGCGCGCAAAATCCGTGCAAATTGCTGGTTGGTAATTTCAAACCACTAAATTCGTCAACGTGTAAGATCAATGATTAGTTAAGTGTGTTGGATTCTCGTGGGTGGTTTCACTCCATCCCCCAAAAAAGAATCAACATCTAATCGAATCATTCTCTAAACGTCACTTCACGCCATTTGCAACACCTCACCAGCCAGCGCCAAGTTTTCCCGAGGATCAGATATGAAATCCGCCATTTTGCGACCTCTTCTCCCAGCTGTCCCTGAAAATCGCCTCAGCGCTGTGGCGGTGTCGGTTTGGGGATGCCATGGTAAATCCTGGCTTTAAGATTCAAGGTTCTCAAACAGTGAAACATAGTGAAACATGGATGTCTTTATTGTTCATTCAGTGAACTCAAGCAATGGGAGTGGTCAGTTTGAATGGCCTGAGAAATGGCATGTGCATGGTTCAAAATCTATGAACCTGGGCTTCAAAAGAATGATCTTGTTTTCCCTCATGTTCAAACCACCTGAATGTCCCCAAGTTTGAGTCCTTCCCCTCAAATTGCGTCCACTTGTTGTCCCCGTGCTTCCGGGAACCCTGACTGGGTGAATCATCTTTCTCTACTTCACCAAGCCGAATGAAGGCCCACTTGGGATAGTTGCCCTCCAGTAAACTGACATCGATGTGGAAAATCCACTGGTATTTTTTCTTCATAGGGAAACCATGGGTTTTCCACATCTATGTAAACATTTACCCTAGGTGCCCCTTATGAACAATTAGTCCAGTGACTTCACAGTTTTCGGTAACTGGCCTCCACGCCATCTCTCGTGGACTTATGCCATCTCTTTGTCAACCATGTACCTTCCGATCTCCAATCAGATCCAGGGTCAGTATGGGTCAGTGGCAGCCGCAAAGTCTTGGGGGTAACCCCCTAGGGCCCTAGGTTTCTGCCAGGAGATTGGGGTATTTTGGTCAACTTTCCCTTTATCCAAGGATGTTGATCTGTTGATTGTCCCCAAATATGGTCTCATGATTCTCATGTCAAACCGGAAGGGACCCTGAAATAGGTAGGTTCAAAAAGTAGGTTCGCTGGGGTTTATTTCGTACATTGATGCAATTTGATAGTTGATGAGTGAACAGAAACCAACCTGGGGCCCTTCCTGTAAGATGGATTGTATTGTTGCGGTCATAGATTTATTCATGAGGTCAAACCAACAATGAACAGTCTATGATCAAGCATGTGGGGGCTATTATAAATCATCTCCAAAAGGGCTATACCCACTTTCATATCATACACCCCTTTCTTGGGGAGGGGTTTACCATATGGATTTGTCTGAAAACAAGGTACGTACCCAAAAAAAGTGCTGATTTACCATGGCTTACCATCATCATCCTCAGTAAAGTGGCCATATATTGAGGTTTGTATTATACCCCTTGTTACTCAGACACACCCATGCATATCATGTTGCTGCCTATCCCATATCATATCCATATAATTATTGTGTAAGTTTCATAAAGCATAACCATTTATATACTGAGTAAATCACCCTTAATTAACCATATATATATATATACATATCACATTGCTGACTACTAGTATATATATATATACACATCATATCAATATATCCCAGTATATCCCATATCCATGTAAAAATATATAAAAAAATATGATTTCTCCAGTTGTATCTACATCCCTGGCTTCTTCACTGTGAGATTCAATCTATCTCCAGTGTTTCACCGGTGCTGCGGAAAAAACAACCGCGCACTCGCCCAGGCCGGGACCAGTGCGCATGAGCTTCCACACCTCGGATGTACACCAGGGAAAATCCTCAATGAATGGATTGATGATTGGTAAATCGAAGTCTTACTGGTGCTAAACGCTGGGGGTTGCTGGGGGTTGCTGGAATCATTATTACTAGTGATTATGGATCATTCCCGAAAATTCCCTGCTAAGCACCAGTAAGAGGTTGTCAAACATTATAATTTAATGGTTGACGCCATTCAGAGGCATAGGTATATCATGGTATATCATTGGTTAACCAACACCCCGTTAAAAAAAAAAATATATATATATCAGTTGACATGATTTCAATGAGATTTAGTCATCAATCATTGGTGAATTGATGCGAGTTTGCCAGGAATATTCAGGGATGTATGATCGAAATATTAACCTATGGATATAAAGGATATAAAATGATATAAATATATTTGAATGGATACCCTCCTGTAGACAACTAACACAGATGTCGGAAACCCACCATGAATGTAGATCATGTTCCGAAACCACATTGTTTTCCACATCTATGTAAACGTTTACCCCGGGGTAAAGATTGTGTTGTTGATTTGCTGATAGTCACGCCACCATCCGTAAACCTTGCTTCCTTATAATATATCATACGATATAGAAAAACAAATCCACCATGCAGCGTGCAGTTTGACCAAGGGAAAAAAAACATGTCCTAAAAATGCGATGTGGTTTCTCCCTCAGAATGGTCAGTCAGCCAGCCGGTACAGAAACAAAAATCCTTCAGCCGCTGAAGCTGTGAGGCCTTCTTGGGCAACAAAATTCAATGGCTGCACAGATTTGTACAGTTCAAGCCCGAACTATCAGTTATAAATGATTATACAACATGGGATTATATATTCCACTTATGGGAATTATAACTGTTTTATACAGAGAAAGGGCCAAAACTGTAGAATGTAGAACACTTCGTCATTTGTTGGTTGCTACAGTGTGTCACATCACATATGACATATGGCTTTGTGTGAAACTACAACACCCCCAAATCCCATATCCCTATATCATTGCTGCTAGTTCCCCATGATATCCAATGTGATCCAATAGGAGGTCAAAAAAGGTGTACTACTGTGTAACCACTAGTGACTTTCCAACTGATTGGATGATTAGATGACTTTCCAATTGATTTTCCAAGGCCAAAAACAGGTGATTTTCCTGGCTGCCAGGGCGCCACTTTGGCAATTTCATTGATGGACTCCACCTGCACCGGACCGGCAAGGGTAGACATCGAACTGTATATTAAGAGATATAGTATGTCTATGTATCACAAATAACTAACTAACTAAATAAATAAGATAAAAAATATATATATACACACATGTAAAATATCTACAAAAAAAATGTGTCATTTGTAGATCGATGTTTTTCGTATATGATGTACAGTATATAAAAATGCTGAAATACCGTATACACCAAGTATATTGAGGTTGAATATGCAAATATACATTATAAACAACATCATCCCATCAAATTAGACAAACCCAAGTTGCAAAACTCTCACTGTTTTTGAGGGGTACAGGCTGTGGCCCTAAGGGGGCTATGTTTGTTGGATGATGTTACCTCCATAACTAGTTCATGATATATCTACCATAACTCAAAGATCTGTGGGTGCAAGCTTTCTCTCTCTCAATTAAACGTGTCTATCTCAACTGTTTTGGTCTGCAACACTTTAAACCCCTTTTTGATCGCTTCACTTCAACCCCATCTGTTCTTTCATTTTTTTACAAAATTGTTTCGGATGAAGTAGTCAGCTGACATCCTGACCGGCAGAGTCGTACTCTTGCCCCGTTTTCCCATTCCATCAAAAAATATGTTCAAATGCAAAAGTGAAGCAGCCCCCATGCACCCCCCTGAACCTATAGTTTCCCCAAGGATAAGGTGCTTCCTCAGCCCAGGGTTCCTTCTCGGCTGGTTTTTTTTATTGTTGTATTTTCTATGTTTTTGGGCGAACCTCGGAGATAGCATGCACCCCTTGGGAAAGCACGAAGTGTCCGGGACCTGTAAAAACAAATAAACATTGCAACGTTGCTTTCTCAATGGTACGTTGCCATCTCGTTTTTTTCCAAAAGAAACAGAAAAAAGTGGAGAAACGAAAAAGAAAAAAAACAGGAAAACCATGTTTTGCGTAGCCCGTTGTCCCAAGCCAGCACATTAGCCCTGACTGAGCAAGTAGCCCCGGAGCAAGCACGCTGCAGGATCCGTGCTTGTGTTCTTTCTCACACGCGGAGTCGTATTGTCAAGTCTTCCGAATTGGACCTCCCTAACCTATTCTTCATTGTAAAGAGTCAACATGGCTGGAAAATTTGCCCTGGTTTGAGAAAAATGACCTCTCATCAAATTCAAAGTTCAAATACTTGAGATAGTTACATTTATAGTACATACCGTTATTATAGAAGATATTCAGGAATTATCGGAAAACCGATCTTTTATTTGAAACGGGTTTGGGCGCGCGGAAAAAGCCATTTCAAATAGAAGATAAATTAATTCAATGACCCAAAATGGTAGAACATCCGGGATGTTGGAGCTACTTTGGCACTCTCCGCAACCATGGTCCCGGGAGGGTCCAAACTAATATCTTCTATTTAAAAACCATTTAGACCAACACCAAAAGCACAAACTTGGTGGATCATCCAACCGAATATCTTCTATTTAAAAAATGGTTTGTCGCACAATCTTTTTCTGAGAATTTGGGGTTGGTATATAATGAATATCTTCTATTTGAAATGGGCGTTTCCGCTCAAGACATTTCAGATAGAAGATATTCACAAGTATTATTCCTGCCCACCCCTGCCAGTGCAGATTCTCCAATTTCGTGTGCAAAACTTAAAAGTCTTATGCGATGCTAAGTGGGTCTTTTCCAAAAGGGAAGTGGCTCTCTGGGACTGCGCTTGGCTCAAGGAGCTCAAGGAGCTCGAGACAATGTATAATATATATATATAATTATGGTAATATATTATGCATGTCTATGTCAGTGATTGAAACTTTTGGGATAGTATGAGACACTAGTCAGGTTCAAGCTTTGGGGACAAAACTTATTATGTTAGAACTTTGCCACCCGGAGTGTTGAGCAATGAGCACTTCCAACACCTCAACATCGTCCTCTACATCATCAAGTTCCGCCGCTTCGGAGGAGTGAAGATCTGATCTTGTCTGGGTGATGGTGCATATTTCTAACCATCCTCACAAAATTGCTCATGCCCGTAAAAAAATGAACATGGGACTACCTGAGACTTCATGCCCACAAAGACTTATGCCCCCTCAGGGTCACCAGATTCCTTTTCAGGAGCATGGTTTGCCGGAGATTGCCGTGAACTACCTGGATGAGGTCGGTTCTCTTTTTCTTCGCTCATCGGGAGTCTTGGCCGCATCTAAGCCGCATCTCTGCCAGTACTCACATGAATGGACGCACTCATCTTACAGATTGGTGGCAGCCACCTAGGACCATCTAAGCTAGGCATATTAACTTATTTTACTTGCCTAAGTAGCTCACCCCAAAGGTAGCGACCCAGCCAATAAGTGAAAGAAGTTCAAATAGATCCCAACGAGCACAAAGACAACAAGACCACGTCGTGACACATTTACTTTCTCCTCGGTTAAGTTCACTTGCCGTCTCTTAGGATTGGACGAGTGGTTTCAAGACTGGAAAGGCGGCACATTTACTTTCTCTTCAGATTGATAGTCGGTTGCAATAAGGTTTTGAGAGGGTTGGGCATTGTTTTCAATACAGGTTTTGGAGGTGGTTGGTGATAGATGTTGCGATGTTGTTTTAACTTTTTGAACTTCTGGGCCGCAAGTGGTGTTGGCGCTGACAAGGCAGTGGAGCTGACACCCCCTTCATGGCGGTCCAAATGCTTTTCGAAGCCGCCCAAAAATCTGATTCCCTTGCCCATGTGTGACCTGGCTTCAACTTTCCTCCGTGGTTTGGGTTCACAAGGCTGGGATATGCCTTTCTTAGGGTGTGATTTTCAGGGTGGTTCCCAGCTCCATTCTGCATAAACTAGTCCGAATATTCTAGGGGGTTGAAAGATGTTGAAAGTGATAACACCAGGATGGCCAAATTTCCCCCGATTGAGGTCGGCTTCTGAGATTCACCCTACTAAGCGGAGTTTTCTAAAGGACAACTTCGACATATTTCAGTTTCTTGGCCAACAGCCTGGTCAATGATGTGGATCCGTTCCAGTTGTTTCAGTCATGTGGCATGGGCAGACAGTTTCAATATGTGAGGCTGACACCATCGGTTTTGAACCAGGACAATGGCCCGTTGACTGAGAAGGCGTTTGAGATGCCAGTTTGTATTTTATTTTGATGAATGGCTTCCACAAAATCAATTTTGGAAGCTTCGTTTGTTCATTCCGATGGCTAGGTGTCCCTGTATGCAGCGGGGTTCCCCTGCACACCTTTTTCGACGTTGGGCTCACTTGAAAGGCTTCGGGACCCCAACGCAAAACAATTCTACGCGTGCATCAAGCGGATAAAGAGTAACAAACCAAAGGCTCCTTTGTCGAATGGTCAGGTTAGATTTGTGTGCGAATGGTTTCATCATGACAACTGTTGCTCCTTATTTTTATGTTTTTTCCACACTGGCCCGGGGTTTCTTGCCAACCTAAGGTCGCAGTACTTGAAAATGTTATGGGGTTTATGGTGGTGGCCGAAAAAGCAGCAAGGTTCATTCGCAGGAACTGTCCCGAGTACTTTGGCTGGATGTTTCCCTTGAAACCATGTAGGATCATGGAGGGTCCCTGTGGGTTTTCTGTTTGTTTCAGCCTGCTCTTAGGTACAGGATGCTGTATGTGACGACAAATCCGTGATTTTTCTGCAATAACAATGATACAGAGATTGAGTAGATTTCAGACATATGAAAACTCACTGAATATGTTTGCATATTTTTGCAACACGGGATCTTAGGAGACAGTATGGTGCACCAATATCTCGGAGGAGGCTTTACCTCATCATGGTCTTAGAGACTGCCCTTCGGGATGAAGTGAAACAACAAGAGCTAGTCGACTACATTCAGGGGGTCTTAGACAAGATGAAAATCAGGTCTACCTTGGGATGGCCCCTTAACTGAACATAATGTTTCATGGACCCCACAGGATTCATGTCATCCTCATATCAGCTATAGCCAACCCAAGAACCTGAGGAATGATTTGCTACTTCCAGATGACCATCCAGCTGTTGTCCGCGACGTGGCAAAGAGGGCAAAGCGCAGGTTGCAAGTGTCATCCACGCATCTTGGGTTAATGTTGTTTTTCCACATGTACATATTTAGCTTTGTTTCCATGTGGCCATTATATGTTTACACTCATCCTATCCCGAGGAAACCTGACCCAAAGTTGAAGTGGATAGCAAGACATCGTACATGGGCAAAAGATAAGGAGGTCAGGAAGTTTGATTGTGTTGAAAGTGTTTCCAAAACCTCATCACTCGGGGTGTTTGGGTCCGACAAGTTTGCAGCAAATGTTGGCAGGTTGATATCAAAAAGGTGAACAAAGAAAGACTTTTTGCCAAGAAGTACCCAAAAGCTTCTAAACAAATCTCGAGCCACAGAGAGATGGAGGCTGGTTTCCCAATGTGTTTGCTTTTTTGACAGCAATTGTGTGTGTGGGTTGGTCTTATCTCCTACTATTGTCCACCAAATAGGCTTGCAACCTCCTGGCTGCACACCATGAAAGCCTGAGCGTCATCAACACCAGTCAGAGTTTGGGGCAAATGCCAGTTCTGGAGAAGGACTCGCAGGATCTCATGTGCCTGACGCCACTCAGGCTGCAGTTTTTAAAAATATGGTGGGTGTTGGTTGTTGCTACTAAAGTGTTGCTTTGGGTTCTGGGAGTTGGGGTTGTATGTATGAAAATGTATGAGTACATGTGCCTCATTTGATTTGAGGCCTGCAGGCAAGTTCTTAGCGATGTCCAGGGGACGCTACTTGGTCGGGCGAGAGATTTGTCTTCTCATGGGCTTGCCGATACACAAACTTAAGCTGGGTACGTGCAATGAGAGAGCCTCTTGCCTAATTATCAACTTAGACAGTTCTGCCATGATGTTTCTTCATTGTTTGAGATGTTTAGCTGTTGAATTGTGAATGATTTTTTGGGAGTTAGGTCCTTCACAGCTTGGGCGGGAACGCAATGGCGATGCGTGCTGTTTTGCCATGCATCTGCGCGGCACTTTCCGCATGTTCACCTGAGAGCCTGGTAGTTGATTGGAAGCCGAAGAAGTAATTAGCTTTAAAATTTCCAATTCAAAAACTTGGAAGTCATGCATAGTGGTGCCAAAAACTGGTCCTGAGCAAGTAGTGTGATCTTGGATGTTTACGGTTCTCGCAGCATAAACCATGTCCACCATGCTTTCCGTATTTTTTTTCCAAACAAGTTGCCGGATCTAATAGTCAAACACACATTCAAGAGTAGTAGCCGTCCAAGAAACAATATAGATTAGATGCTCTTTGAATATGAAACACCTGTAATTAAGCCTACAAGTTTCCAAGGAATGCTATCATGGCCCCCTGGTGGTTACCAACCGAACAGTTATATATGAGCAAGTTCTATTTTGTATTTCCTTCCACCTTCAAATCAAAGTTAACTACTGGTGGTAAAGTCCGTTCCCATTCATGGCTTTGGTCCGCTGGGATGATGATGATGCGGACATGAACCAGCTGCAACGTTATGACTCTTCGAGTGAGTCCACTGATGCTGAGTCTTCGATCGCGCAGTGCCCAAGCTGCATCTCTTTGTGTCTGTGGTATCACATCCCAAGCATTATGACCTATCATCCAAAACAATGAACAACACTGTTCTGAGGATTTCAGATTCCACTACTAGTGCGTCAACAAACTTGTCGTCCGACACTGGCTCTGAGACTGGGAGTGATGTTGATGATGGTCGTCCACTACCCATCATTGATCTAACCCAAGAACGACTCCAGTCACTACATGCTCTTGGGAAGGTACAGAAATCAGAAATGAGTACATATGCCAAGAAAGGAATGTCAGCATCCAGAATCAAAAAGTCAGCTACGGCACCTCGATGTGAGTGCATGTGCCGAATGCCTGTGAAGATACTGTATCATCTATGTGTTGCCTTCTGGACACTTGCTAAGCCCACCCAAGATGCGTTGCTCTGGGGTATTCAGCACGAAGGGGGCCACAAAAAGAACAAATGGATGTTGGCAGGACAGGACATTCACACCACACCCTCCATTACAATGGAACACCTCCATATAAATATGTAACAGGTAGATATTGATATATTGATATGGCGACATTTTGGTTTCACATATTATGTTAATATGCAAAAAAAATCTTTATAATCAATTTGGAGATCCATAACATAACTAATTAATATGTATTGCACCATCTTGTGCGCAGGATATCCCATGTGCCGTGAAAATTGGCTGCGGTGCATGGGCATTGGAAAACACCGCCTTGGACGGTGCCGGGCCGCTTTTCAAGGGAGAGATGGAAGGTCCTTGAATGGAAGAGGTGGAATCCTTTCTGAATGACATTCATGGTTCATTCATGGAACCCGCTCTACTTTTCACCTGTCCTCCAGTAAATGAATACTATGGTCCATCCATTTGCCAGTTCAAACATCATGTAATCTATCCAACCGTCTTTAAAATAACCGTGTCTAAATATCTATTCCTCCACCACTCTTTCTCTCCCTTGCCAGTTTCCGTGCTCATCGCGGCTCAGGACCATCTGCACCACCTGCAGTGAAGTCAGCCAGTGTGACAAATTTCTTGGTTCACTTATACTGGACAGCTGCAGAGCCAATGTCCACAGGGCAACTTTGGTCGCATTTCAATGGTTGGTTTTTGTTGATGTTGATCAAACTGATTCATTGGACCCATGGAAAACGATCATGGCATGTTTTAAGGATCATCGCCAAGTCCAATGCTCACAGTGGGGATCAGAAGTTGCAGGAAGAGATCTTGCAACGCCTCATTGACTCTAAGTTGATGGGCCCGACTACGGAAATTCTTTTCCACCACGACCCCCAGCGTCTTGCATTGCGAGAGCTCCCACATGGGTGCTGGAGCAACGTGTTTGTGCTATATAGAGCCCATTGTCGCTCTTCTGGTGAACCCCCAGCAGCAAAATCAACGTTCTTCGCAGTATCCCAATCATGGCGATGTTGCATGCGCTTTCATAAAAAAACTCAACATTCGCTTCGTGTCACATGCAGTCGACTGAAGATGGAGATCAGAAACTCAAAAGAATCTTGATCCCCAGCATTGTAATAGTCTTTTGTGATTTGATCCCGGTGCCCTTTGATATTTGGTATGTCAACCATTTGCCTCCTTGCTACATGAACAGGGTGTGAACAATACACAATGAAACAGATTGGGATATAATATAATATAATATATAATATAATACAATGAACATAATATAAGATAATATACTATAATATAATTGCTATATTGTAGAACCCCACTCTACCTTCTAGTGTCTCCTGCTGAGGACCTAAAATCTCACTGTCAGTTCAGTCAGCAGTTGCTGAACCACTACTTTGCGGTCTTGGAAGACCGCAAGGTGTACTACACCGCCCGGGAGAGAGGGAAAACCTTTAAGGATGTCCTCGTGTTGATCATAGACAGCTACGATAAAGCCAAAGTGACACTGCCACGATGGCCATTTCAAAGGTGTTCCAAAAGACCCATATACGAACAGGTGAGGCGTAGTTTGTCCGCAAACAATTTAATATTTTATTTTTGATTAGCATTTTCACTGGTCCTGTCCAACATCTTGACATAAGAGGGCTATTCCAAACACATGTGAGGTACATCCATGACGTTGACTGGCTGCATCGTTCACGGATTCGGTGTTTTTTTGTATTTGGGAGATGAAGGCTTTGGAACCGGAGCAAATTGGACGATCGAAATTGAATCTTTAGTGTGAATATGTCCATACTTTTTTGGGAACCAATTTGATTTTGGCGGTGTGTGTTTTTCCTTCCCATTGCCAGAAATTCCCAGCCTGCTCCGTCATCGCCACTGATCTCCAAGGCTATGAGGTCCATCGATCGAGCCTACGCAATCGCACAGAGCATGAATCGTTCTCTTCCAGATGAGCTCTTGCGTCTGCACTCATGGGGTATGGTGGTTATTGCGGGGTATTGTAGGGTATTGATGGGTATTGTGGGGTATGGTGGCTATTGTTAAACCATGTTCAACCGCTGATCATGCAGGTGCTGGGTGCAGGGCGATAACGCCTGCAAGGAAGTTCGTAACAGTTACACTGGCAGGTGGGCTTCCCTGATGTGCCAAGGCGGCTGGTTCAAAAACATGGGACACCATCATATGCAAAAAGGCCACACACACGAAGACATAGGTGGGGTTGGGTTCGGCAAAACACATTGTTCAGAATGCTAAGTCTTAATTATGGTTCTATCTGTATCTTTCTGTTATTAAAAAGTTTTTGGTTTGAAACAGATAAATGGCATACTACATCTTTTCACAACGCTTTGGAAACACTTTTGCACACCGGCAACCTGCCCCCAAGATGGTATATTCTCTATCTGCACTTCAGCACTCAACGCCCTAGCGGACCTTCAAACCCCAAGAGATGTTCAAAGGAGCTCACGCGCGTTTTTTTCCAAAAAGTTTGACAACATAGTTGTATGTTTATGTGAGTTGGCCCCCTCTCAAATACGTCCAGTAACTACTTTGTGATGCTACACTCACTTCATCAGGACACTCATTGATCGGATGAGACCTCTTTTCACAAAGTCTGGGCTGGTCTTCGATTGCGAGATTATCGACACTGTTGCTCGGCAAAAGGGAGGGCTTTGTCTTGTGCACCTTTGTGTGGGAGTTCAATATCAGGCTTGTAAGGGATGTGTTGGACATGTTCAATGTTCACTGAGATCCGGGATTGGTGCCGGATCATGCCAGCTGGGGCCACCCTCAAGAACTGCTACCGGCCTCGAAAGGGTGATTCTGATCGAGATGATGAACGCTGTGTGCCACAGAGCTTTACATTTATGGCAAGAGAAGGTTGGGAATTTGCAGCCGATGTTACAAGTGGGCACAACATTATGTAAATTATGGTTTAAATTTATGTGTTTTTAATTCTTTTTGCCGTCTTTATCAACTTTTATGTCCCTGAGGAATGCCAGGGGGTGGTTATGGCATCGATATGGATGAGAGTATCCCACGAAGACTACGTTCCGAGGGCTGTGCCAAAGATATTTTTGCTCTTGTGAAAGCCTCAATGGCAAGTCCCACGCTGTCGCAGAAACCAATACTGGTTTACCCGCAAAGCTTTTTACCAGCTACTGAAAGGTTCTTTCGTACCATCAACTCATGCAACCTGTTCCTGACAGCCTCCTTGGATGAAAGCCGTTCCATGGAGTTGAATGAGCTGGCAAAGTACATCGAACTTGACTTTCCTCACCTTCGAAGGGGGGTCGGTTACTTGAGGTCTTTGAGTGATGACAACAGGAGACGGTTGCCATCGCCTCACTTGAAGTTCATCGAAGCGGGTCCCACTGCGGCGCATGGTTTGGGGGATGTGCGGGTCGGGGCAGTTCGTGCTGCACCTACTCCATACAAACTCCAGGTGGTCTTTCATCATCGGCCGGCAGGATGACAACTTGATCTTTCTTTACATGGGGTATTGCTGGTGCTAAGATGCATAAAGTGCATGTTGCCAAAACACCAGTTGATCGGAAAGAATGGGGCAAAAGTGGTGTTTTGCGTGTTTGCATAACGGGGTCTCGGGGGGGCGTTCTATGATTGGAAAGAACACGCAGTGTAGCAGCATGCACACAACTATATAATCCACAGGGATTTTTCTCACAGGTGGGTTTCACAATCGTTTGGGACCCATCAGCTATGGCAGAGCTGGCTGATGATGAAGCTAGCAATGGCGTTCTCCAAAAGATTGCCACCTACTTTGATTCCGTTTGGGGCTAAATTGTTTTCCATTCAGTTGCAAAGTCAAATTCATGTTGTTTATGTCATATTTGCGGTGTTCCATGCCCCAAGACTCTGAGGTCATTGAAGAGCAAAACTTTGGACGGTGGGTCAACTCCTTTGAACGGCCCCTTTTGAACAAGGTCCCACACTTGATCTTGCATATATAATGCAAAAGGTTTCCTCACCCCTTTTTGACCTGTCCTTGGTTTATGCGTTAGGTCTTGGAAAGCCTGGTGATGAGCCCTGCCACCTCAGAAAGCAAGCCGACCCTGTCCGTGATCCCGAACACTTCCCTGAAAGAATTTTGGCTTCCGCTTTCCAGCTTCGATGTGTCCGCGCGCAGCAAGACTGGATGTGGGGCTGTTCAAAATGGTTCGGTTTTAATGGATTTCAATATCAACATCAGTATCCAAGAAGGGGCTTTGCTCTATGTTTCAGATACCCTACCCAAAAGATAAATCACAAAAAAGATAGAAATCAAGACTTCAATATCTTGGTGGGTCCCCACCATTTGCATTAATATGTTTGTTTCATAGGGCTCGTTTTTCTCAGTACACAATGATATGTTTTTAACAATGTGGGTGTTCATCCAATTCTGCCACACCCCTGCCCTGCCAGACTATCCCCAAAACGTTCAGCTGGCAGCACATGTCCGAGAGTTTTTGAAGGACGGCTACCGCGTTGGGGCCGAAGCGGTGGAGGTGAAGTTTCATGTGTCGGACGGGTCGCGTCGAATTTTGGAGTCAAGCGTCGGAATATCTGACGGGTTTGCCAAAGTGTTGTTGATGTGTGGGATCACCCTCATTTGCCACCAGCTGGAAACACGGTTACATTTATGAGTCCAATTGATCAATTTTCTTTATATTCTTCAGGGCATGGGATGTTGCATAAAGAAAAATCTTGTTAATTTGTGTTTTGGTGTAGCTTAGGAACTGACCCCAGAGCAACTCGCGCTCCCTGGTGTGAAGAAGGTGTTGGACAGCTTCCGTTGGGTGAGGTGTGCATACACCCATTTCGAGAACCCATCGCACCACTACCTTTACGCACTGCACCCCCTGGTTCTCTTGTATATTAAATTTTCAGTTGAGAGGAACCCAAATTCACCTCATAAATGGTCAATACCTGGTTTCAATACCTACAACATAATCTAGTGATTATGGCCCAACGTGGTTTTTGTACTGAGGTATGCAGCATGTGACTTCGCAGAAACAGGCTCCGTCCCCCATTGATCTTTTGGGGGCAATGCAACAGGCTGTCAACATCGAGCGCCGCCGAACGCGGGGTGGGGCAAGCACAGCGTTGAGAGATGTGCTAGCCAAATGTGTGGGTGACTATAACCGCATGGTTACCAAGAAGTCCCATAGGGTGGATACCAACACCAAGAACTTGTGCTTGAACATGCGCTTTGGCTTCATAAGCAAAAACATCAGTGAAATATATTAAAAAAAAAAGGTAGTGCATATCATGGCTATCTTAGTTTGCCTTTCTTTGTTTCCACTATGCCCCCAAAGATTTGATCGAGAGAATGTCAGGGAATTGTTTAAGCTTGCAATTCAGGCTTCGCACCAATGAGAAGATCCAGAATCTAGTTCACGGTCACTACGACTTGTACCCGCACACCGTTTCAGGCAGGTTCCAAAGAACTTTGGGTGCTTTAGGTTTGCTTCCAAGTATCCCTTCACCTGATATACTGTTCCAGGGGTGTTCCTCTATCATGGTTTGTTTTCAAACACCCAAATTCCAACATGAAGACGCTCGCCCCTGCCAGCCTTGCCGATCGATGTGCTGCAGCAAGATTGGTGGGTGCCTGGCTCCACTAGCCGTGCCGACAGTCCGCGATACCAGGGGAAAAACTTGTTCAAAGAAATCCTGACAATTACCATGGATTCCTGTGAGCTGTGGATGACCCGAGCCACGGAGGATTGGCTTCAAAAACAATTTTCAAAATTTTGCAAAAACAACTCTGCTGGTTTTACTGCTTTTTGTCATTCTGTCCAAAGCTAATCCGATTTCCCTGTAGGACTTCAAGCGTCGAGTTGGTCCAGATGCATCAACCAAAGCCAAGGAGGGGTTCCACATGGTTCACCAACATTTTTACCAATGAATTCATATTCCTTACGTTACCTTACATGAGTGATTCAAGGTTTTGTTGGATCCTACAGGTGTATTCAACGAGTATATAAACAATTTTCCACTTAATGTCCATGCCCTGAATCAATCTCATCGCCTCAGAAGAATGCTCAGCTTGGAGAAGAAGACCAGCTCCTCCTCCACGATTGCGTGTGCTTGTGGCTCTGGTTACTTCCCAAGCTGGAGAACGAGTTCCCCAAACCAGTGGTTGATAAGCACTATCAACTCTTTCTGCGTGGGACTCCTGACAGCATTTGCCTTGTGTTGAATTTTGGTCTTTGGGGATTTGATGGTGACAAATATGACCTAGGAAGGAGTCACACAATCAGCCACCCCGTCACAAACCCTGGTATGGAGTTGGCCACAGCCACCCCGTCACAAACCCTGGTATGGAGTTGGCTGCAGCCAACTTTGTGTTTGGACTTGGCTGCAGCCAACTCTGATTTAGAAATTATCATGGGATTCCGTGGAATCCCGTCATCTTTGACAAAAAACGGTTGGCTGCAGCCAACTCTGATTTAGAAATTATCATGGGATTCCGTGGAATCCCGTCATCTTTGACAAAAAACGGTTGGCTGCAGCCAACTCTGATTTAGAAATTATCATGGGATTCCGTGGAATCCCGTCATCTTTGACAGAAAACGGTTGGCTGCAGCCAACCTTCCCCCGAAAAAAAACTCAAAATTCCCATGAAACATCAGATGATATTCCAAACATGAAAGTTTCATGGGATTCTGGAGAATCCCGTCGCATTTTCATTAAGTAAGCAAGGGGGGCATGATGGCAAAATATGGGATTTAAGATTTTTGGGGTGATTGGAACCCTCCAAACCCAGGAATCTATCAAGGGATTCCCCAGAATCCCGTCGCAATCTGGGTATAAATCCCAGCTCCCAAAGTTGATTGGAATTTCATTTTTTTTGGGTGAAAACCCCACGGCCACCACTTAGGTCCTTGGACTCGGATCTCTCTGGGGTGATGCGAGCGGCACAGCCCTTCGAGTGGGAGCGCATCCCATTTGTGCTTGAGGACTAAGGGTTTGTGGGGTCAAGGGTTATAGGTCCCACAAAGCTGTTGTATCAGTCATATCCCTGAAACATAGATGGATGTTAGTCAAAGCTTATAAAATACCATTCAATGGGGTGCCTTGTTAGGGAGAATCATTTGATGCCGTGTATACTTGTAATGTTTCAAAGGGAACTACTGAACCGTTCAAGCCCCAAAAACCATTATTGCCTTGGACTGATTTATTTTTTAGTGGTGTACATCACCCATTCGTAAGGATATCAGTCAGGGAAGTGTAATATAAGTATGTCTCAAAATTAAAGGTCTTGTTTAATTAATAAATTTACAGTAATTAAAAATAGATAAAGATGGATCCACCAATTTCGAGACATACCTATATTCACTTTAATTTAGTGGCGTATTGTATACTGATAAGAATATGCTTCAATGGGAAACTAATCTACATGAGGATGTTTGTTGATGTTCATAGCTCACTTATGAAAAACCAAAGGAACTGGTATTTTGGACTTGCAAGCAAAAGGGACGGATGGAGACATTACCCAGCATGAGGGATATCTTGGTCTATATGATGTATGTTTATTAACATTTTTTTAAAGATGTCAATAAAGAAATATATTGTACATACATGGGCGATTGTGGGGGTGTTGTATGGTGTATGGCATACATGGATCTTCATTCTTAGACCAATTACCAAACTATGTCAATTTCAGGTAATCGCTGGATCCCCTTACAGCTCTCCCCGCCCTTCAGGTCAAAGGGGAGTGTGTGGATGACTTCATAACCCAAGCCCAAGACAGAACCCGCAACGCACAATCGAAGAGCTTGCAAGCGGCTTGGTTGGTCTGGCGGGAGATGCTCCAAGCCGACCAGATCACCTTCGAAAGTGAGAAGATCTCGATGCATGTTTGCATTGCAGCGTTCAGCCATGAAAGCAATGAAAGCTACCCACAGTAGGATCATGTACATGTCAAAGAAACTGTCAAATCAACGCCGGTGTAGAATGTTTTGTGCACTTTGAATTCCCGTCCCCAGTTCCAATTCCCAATCTAATTCACTCAGCCTCCTTCCACTGGTTTGGGAGATCTTCTTCTGTTCCTGCGTGCCATCCCAGGAGTGAAAAGGAACATGCAAAACGACGTGCAAAAATGGTTTCCCAGCTTGAGGCTGGATCATTCCTGATCATTGCCCGTACCACTTCGCTCTAGAAGAATCGTGAAACACAAAAACATATTATGCCATGATAGGGTAAGCCCAAGCATGTGTTATTCTCGGACATGCTGCACATGTCTTTTCTACTTTAACTGGCTATCCCTTTCAGAAAGATGGATTTGTCTTCGTTCCCAGGCATGATTTGGGGTTTACAAAATAAATTCGCAAATCTTCAGGCGATGCACAACAAAGCGTGGGATTTGGTCTCGTCCTACATGGACCAGAATCTGAAAGCTTTCGCGGGGCGGGCCATCGAAGCGGAATCAACTCTGTTACCGCAGGTCACTGGGTGGATCCATGACACACTGAATGACTTGCCAGAAGCTTGGAACCGATTTAACTTTTGATTATTGTGGGCCAATTGTGGGCTTCGTTTTCCATGGTTGCCTTGCGGCAAACGGTCAAACAATTTTCAAAACCAAATAAAGGAAATCAGAAGTGTGGACGATCATTGCATCGTAGTATGGTCCAATTTGACGACCGTTGGCGTGATGCCAGCAGCCAAACTGGATTTTTTCCTCACGGCGATTTCAAACATCCTCGCCTCCCACAAGAGGAATGCACTGGCCATTTTGATTCATCCGAACCGAGCATCCGACACTGGGAGGATGGGGTTTGACAACTATATAAATGTTTTCATGGCAATCATAAATTTTAAATCGTTTTTTTTAAATAAATGGGGCTATGGCAATTTACAAGACAATTTTTTGACTGGATATGCATCTGTTGCAGGAAATCGGGGGAGAAGAAGGAGAAAATGGAGAAAGAAGAGGACGATGATTTTGTCCTCAAAGGGGAAAAGGAGGAAGATGCTGAGGATGGTGACTCTGATGGCCTGTCGGAGGAGAACGAGAAGGACAACCCTGAAGAATCGGACATTCGGGACATCAAACACAAGTTGGAGAAACTTGAATTGAATGTAATAGTTTCTTAAAATCATTTTTTCATGCGATGTTCGACAAAACTGCAATGTTCTTAATTAGGAAAAGTATGATAGAGGCCACGCACATGTGCACGGGAGTCTGGGTTTGTGGACACTGTCCATAAGGAAAGCATTGTCAGCGAAGTCGCGGAACCTATGGGTGAAGAACCTCACCTGGGCATTTGACAAGGATGCCTGGTACAACTTGATATATTTTTTTATTCCACCTTGCCTGGGGATCTTACCTGGGATGCTTTTGCACAGAAACATGTCTTCTTACTAACACATTCAGAGTGAGGCTACCGTGTACGGAAAAAGAGATGCTTGCATTCATGGTTTGGCCATTGTCCATCGGGACAAAGCTAACCTTTTCCGGAATGCTGCCGCCTGGAAACATGCCCTTGTACGTGACTGTGTCATGCTTCCGCGTTCACAGATGTACAAACCAGAGGCGCGATATCTTATTAAAAGTTTATCTCCCTCCCCGAGTTTAAGATGTGTTAAAAATGTTGGAATGTCTACTATGTAGCAAGTTGATGCAAGTTGTTGGGTGTCATTAGTAGTGCTTTGCCCCCTGTCAGGCCCAGGCAAACACTCCGCATCTGGGACGAGCCTTCACAGATGCTCAGGAGCTGCGTCAAGCTTCTCAACAAAAAAGACTCAGGGTAAATTTTTATTTGAAATTGTTTGATTTTTGGGACTCTGTTTCTAAGGCTTTCAAGGGTCGCTAATTCCAATCTTTTATTGATTTTTCTGTTGGCACTTAGGTTGCAGGCGGAACAGACTTTATAAGGAGAACTTTGTCTTCGTTCTGGCCCGAGACAGTGTCTACCTGCATTCTCATCGATCTCCACACCTATGACTGCTTTCCGGCACTTGCAGCCCTTGAGGACTGACCATGGTAGGCCTAGCTTCGTACCACCATTAAATAGGATTTACATCTGAAAGGCTACTTTCCTACTACATAGTAACAATGAATCCAGTAGTTGTACACTCCAGTAGATCCCAAATTAAACAATGATAGGCATCCCACAAAACGATGATTAACCCATAATTAATCTTAGGATTTGTTATGGTTTATTGACACCAGGTTGCCATTACCACATCCCTTTCAACCATCCCTTGCAGGAGTCTTCAGAGAACCGCAGGGTCCTTTGCGCCAACATTCTCCTCGACCGATCGCCTGAATCCACAGTCCAAAGGATTTCCAACGCAATCTACAACTCGTGCAGGGCTGGTGATTTGAAGCTGGTGGGATTCCCAAATTTCGACCCGGTGATCAGTGCACTTCAAACGATGAAACCCGAGGATTCTGGGAAGGAGTATGAGGTGACCATCAAAAAGCATGACCGTCTGGTGGTGCTGCAAAGCTTTGCAGCCAAGTGGATGGACACGGAGTTCAAAGACCAGACGATCACAGAGCTTGAGAATCACAACCAAAGGTACAACCCTGGTGGAGAATATTGGCATGAGACGGAAAGGCGAGGTTGGGTCTGATATCCAGACCTGGGCGTAAGATGTACCAATACTTGATTTAACAACTCCCAAAACTAGTGTTATGCTAGTCGTGTCGACATATAATATTATATTAGCAATTTTATCGTTCACTCTTGGGATTTGAATTTATGATGTGCTAGAATGCAGTGGTCTCCCAAGACTTTTCACAGGGGATCGTGCCTCGACACTGGTCGCCAGGGCTCCAAGCGACGAGGAGAGCAGCCGTCCTCACAAGCGGATCAAGTTGGATGATTCCGAGCTTGGCAAGGAAGCCGACGTGGTGAATCTCACCAAGCCGACCCTTGGGTTAGTTATGGATGGATGGTGGTTTGCAAAACAATATTGGGATAGTATGAATGGGACCATAATAGGTATTAATTACTGGGGAATATCAATGGGACATTTCAACCAACCAAGATGGGATAATGATGGATATGAATCATGAAATCATGGAAAGTATGTGGCTGATAACCATTTCACAACCAACCATCTATTTTTTTAATTGGGTGTATAACCAACCAACCAAGGATAAGCGCACCCACTGTGATCCAAATTATCCAAAATCGTTTGCGCTTATTTCCGCTAAAAAACAATGTGGGGGGTAGGAAGTCAATGCTTTTATTGGAAGCAACAGTAGCTATGGAACAGAAATAGATCAGGCAGGAACGTGTTTTGGCACAAGAAGCAACTCTACATTTGGCACCTCATAACAGGACATCAAAAAGAATTTCACAAGATGGTCAAAGAAGGACCTTCTATATAGAGGATCCTACAAGACCTTCATACTTCATACAATAACTTCTATAAGCGTCCCAGCAGAACATTTATATTAGACCACCGTCTAAATATATTTGTCAAAAACTATTTGTTTTAACATCATAATATTCATGCATCATAGAAGTAAGTCCATTAACCCACCCAACTACCCATCCATTGTGTCCATACACCCATCCGTCGACACATAGATTGATATATCCATACCAGTTTCCTCTTTGCTGGATAAAACTATTGAGGTACTCCTTCTCTATCAACAACATTGCTGAGATGGTGTGTGGCCAGGACGGTGTGCCGCTGTATTTGGTCTCACGTGGCAAAAATCAGTTTCTCACCCACCGTGAGTTGTTTCTTGGTTGCCAATTGTTAGTAATAGTGCTAAAAGTCGTGTTCCACCAGGATTCCTTCAAAGAAATTTGCACCCCACATCATCAGCCAAGGGGTTTACTTGCAGCCGCCAGCCCAGGTTTAGCTTTGGATCAGGTGACTGGAGGATGTCACAGGCTCCTTGGATACATCCTTGATCTATTCGGAACAAACTTCATTGTAAAACAAAGACAGACATATGGTCAGTATTTCTTGGATCTCAAAGCTATTTAAAAAACATGATAATTACCGAACTGAGATTCCATATCTGTCAGAAAATTGGTGGTAGGTCAAAAGCATTCAAAAAAACAATATCATTTAAAAGATGATGCTTTCCTCTTTGAGTCAGAGAAAGCCTATAATTCTTATGATGGCCTTCTCACCTCTTAGGACGCGGAGGAGCTGATGCAGGACAGCAACGGCCGCTGGTTCAGCTTTTGCATTGACCACCAAACTGTTATGATTTTGGAGAAGAAAGGGTTGCCGAGTCACCTGGGCAATTTGCCTTGCGTGGACTCACCGACCTACTTATCCGCCATCATCCGAGAGTTGGAAGATGCAGGGGAGGTGGGGACCACCAAAATTAATCAAACCAATGCGTTCAACATAACTAGACATATTCCCGATTTGTTACAAATGTAGTCCAAGGTGGGGATCCATGCCCTCATCCGCCCTCATCACACCCGTCAAGGTCAAGCTGGCGGTGACACACCACGTGCTGTCCTCTGACAAAGTCTCGCAGGAGAAGCCCTTGGTCTTCTTGATGGATCCTCCGAAGGACCCAAAGGAGGACCGTGAGGAGGGTGGCAAGCCGAAGAGGAAGAAGCAGAAGAAGGAGAAGGGTGCGGGGACCATGACCAACAAGAATTTTGGCTCGGTGGTTGACATCGCAAAGCTGAAGAAGGCCAACCGACTTCTCATTGGCTGGAGGATCAGGCTCCTAGATTCCAAAATTTTGTTTGGTGGGATCCCAGGTTTGTGTTGATTTGTCTGAATCTGGTCTCATTGTTACCCCAATGACTATTGATTACCTGGGCACCATCCTTTGTTAGGTTGGACTGCAACAACTCTTCCGGATTGAAAACCATAGTGCCGATTCGTCCGGTTGCCTGCGTCACTGGAGTTCTCGACCTTGGAGAAACTGTGATCAAGATCTATTGAAAGGGTGTCTGTGGTATGTAGCCTAATTTGGCTTTCTTGGGGAATGCATCAGGTGTGATATCAATACCCTATATGAAGCATAGATAAACATATTATATATTATAATAGTTGTCAGCTACTTTACCAAAGTTTGTATGTTTGAATCTGGGAGGCACCACGATGCGTCATAGCTGATTGCCGGGAAACCCTGGTCAATCAATTCTTGTCTCTAGGCCACGTCGGCTCGGATGAAAATCCTGGAACTATGTCCATCATATTCATTGGCTCATACGTGCTCCTCATGAATTATTTTTTTAGTTTGATGTTTAACAACAATATCAAAATAATGTTCATTTTGGTTTCTTTGGCAACAATGTGGAAAGTTTGAGCACTGGGCGATGAATACCATGTTGAAAAGCTCATGGACCGGACACCGGACACCGATGACACCCGATGACCCAAAAGGCAGTGCACCTGCAACTCATCTGCAAGAGGGCTGCTGTATTGCCTGCAATCATTCAATTGCGTTGGGGGGCTGGGACCAACTTGTCAGAGCCATTGCCACTGCTATCGTTGTGGCTTCTTTAGGTAGTGTGTCAGTTGTCGGGGGTAAGTAGAAGGCGATATGGCACCCAAATCCAAACGGACTTTGGGCAGGGAACATAGTGATGATTCAGATGTGATCTTCGTACCCTCCTCGGAAGCTGTGGCACACACTCGTCGCCCAGCCCCTTTGTTGCATTTTTATTGTTATGAAATTTCAAACTCACTGTCCTGCGGTTTGCTTACAAGTACACCCCAAATAGAACAGTTGGAAACCTGAAGGTAAATAAATTAGGAAAATGGAACCATCCCCGATTTATCGCTATTGGGGATGCCTCTACATGACGTTGGGGGATGCATATATATATATATATATTAATATATATATACATATCTACATATATATTATACGTATATCTATATATAGTATATATATATATATACATTTATACATATGATACACATGAATACATGTAAGATACATAATATGTGTGTGACTGGCACTGCCACCTAGGCCTTTGATCTCAATGCTATGTTGAGATCCACGGGGACTGGGAGTGGGTCAGCGAGACCGCCGCCTGCAATTCGATCATCCACTTCAGTGACTACAAGTGGAACCAGTCCCCTGGCTATAATGTATAGATCATGTATAGATCTGAAGTCGGCCATAATCATTATATACTATTATTGAATTGTGACAGGGTTTATGTTGGCCTGTCCATGTGATCTGTTTGTGAGTCAAAAGTAATTGTTGAACCAAAGATCTGGAATCTGGATGACTTTTTTGTGGTACTACTTGGATCTACTTGGTGATAGGTGTGTATGAACCACGTTACCCTGAGGTGCTCCTGCCCGGGCTCCCGCTGCCGCTGGGGAGATCTTGCCTGACCGAGTCCAATCTTCAGACGATTCCTCGGCACCGGCAGCGGGGAGGGAGGATAGCAAAAAAACAAAGAAACACAAAGGAAAGAACGATGGCAAGGAAAAGGAATCAGGAAAGAAACAGAAGAAAGACAAACGAGCCAAGAAGGATAAGGAGGAGGAAGATAAAGATTTGCCCGACGCAGATCACCGTCCTGTGGGTGCGGGCCGGGGAGGAGATGATGATGATGATGACCTATTCGATGGTCTAGAGGGTCTTGATGAGATGATGTCGGGGAGTGAGGCTGATGATAACCAGAAAGGAGGAGCCAAGAAAAAACCTGCCTCTACTAGGGGGAAGGGTGGAACCAAGAAGCGCCCGTCCAAGAAAGCTGCCGATATGGAGGCTTGCCCTGTAATTTTGATTTCAAAACTGACATTCTTTCAGCTGAAAACAATTTGCAGAGACACCAACCAAATATATACTGAGTTTGTTTGAAATAGTTGGCACTGGCACAGGTTCCAGAGATGGAGCCCTTCGCCTATGTGATTGAAGACAGCTACGCCACCTACAGGCTGCAATGCTTAGAACTATCCAATGGGTGACCCACCAAGTGGACTGCTATGATCCATCAAAAATTGTGTCAAGTCTATCCAATGGATGACCCACCAAGCGGACTGCTATGACCCATTAAAACTTGTATCATGTCAACCCATTAAGACTTGTGTCATGTCACCATTGGCATGTCACGGCTAGGTCACAGCCATTGGGGCTACCTGATGATGATGACGTAGTGATGTATCTTGGTAAGACCTGGGATTCTGTTTCTAAAGACGAACATATATAGAAGCCGCACTGCCCGTGATTGCCAAGGCACGTGCCCAAGATGGAGTATCAGTACCCAGACAATCAGGAAGACCTGTCGGACTATGAGAGAGAGGTCTGCAGTGGGTGGAACGTAGCTGTCTTGGGTGGGGAAACATTGTTTAGTAGAAATATATCATATCATTAAATACTTTAAACTATTATAAATATATAATGTGCATATATACATATATATAATACGCTTACATCTATCTATATATATATATATATATCATACTTATATTATCTATGTTTATATACAATATATGTGGGATGAATTCAGGTGTTCAACACCACCCAAGGTGTCAAGAAACCAACCATCCTCGATAGGCATATGTTCAATGTAACGCTTCTTGTTTGAAGAAATACCGTAGAAAAACAAATTATATATAATAATTTCTCTTTTTGGCGGAAGGTAGTGAAAGGAATGTCAACACTGTTTTGAATGTTAGTTGGGCTATTGTTTTCACATGTTGGTGCGATCTACCTCTCTCCCTATTTGAACCTCTGTGTTGTTTTTTCTCTCTCTCTTTCTCTATCCACCCCTGTCCCTCTACATCTTTATTGTAAGTATGCCATGTACAATGTGCGGACCCAACAAGAGTGATACCCACCAAGTGGTTCCAACAAATGTGATGCGGATCCTGACATTCTTTTTGCATCCCTCCCTGCCAAGGGGATGGCATTTGTAAGTGAGTATGCCTGTGAGGACAATGTCGCTGCAACACAAGAAGATCCCGAGTCCCAGGGACAAGTTGATGCAACTTGGTATACAACGCCTTGATGAGCTAATGTTGAAAAAATGTTTGCAATGCTTCTTTCACAAAGGAGCCTACTCAGCCTACTCCCGAGTACCACCGCAGCTTTGCCCATGAAGATCTTGGCCCTGTCCTTGAACACGGTGAAGAAGCAGCATTCAAGTGCCAGGTCAAGGACCATGCCACATACCTTGTCATTTGTCAAGATAAAAACTTGTCAATGTGACACATGGAATATGAACCTGAAACAGGACTAGAACTCGAGCTGTTGGGATTTACCGATTTACCCCGTGTTCTCCAATCATATGTTCAGGATGGCTCTGGGTATGTGGATGCGGAGCTGCTGACACCTCAGCCTGTTGCTACTTGGCAAGGGTAAGATAGGACACCTGAGGACTCACCTGGACAGGATACTCCCAATCCCAAACATTAGACACCTCATCCTGTTGCTGTTGATGATACCCCTGGCAAGGATACCCGGACTTCCAAAGATGACACACCTGAGCCTACTGCTGCTTTGGACTCCCTTGGCAACGATGTTGAGGGCTTTGCCGAGCATTCTCTTGGCGAGGATACCCCGGCTTCCAAAGATGAGACACCTGCGCCTAAGACACCTGGACCTGGGCCTGTTGGAAATGAGAATTCTCCTCAACCTGTTGTTGAGCCCGCGGAGACTCCCGACCAGGTTGGTGAAACCCCCACACCGGAGATAAAGAAGGCTCCTACCCCATGTCGCAGAAGAACAGCGGCCAAATCAAGCGCAAAAGCAAAAGCAAAAGCAAAAGCAAAGTCGTCCCGAAAGAACCCACGGAGCAAGCATCACCAGCCTTCTGGCTCCAGTGTGGCAAAGGCGAAGGCACAGGCAAAGTCAAAAGGGAAACACAGGGAACAGAGTAAGAAACCCGATTCCAACAAAGGGAAGGTTGCAAGCAAGAGGGCAGAGAAAGATGCGGTTGAAAGAAAGCTGCATTCCGTCATTAGGCTCAAAATGGTCACTGAAGTCATGGATGTTGCTTTTGAAACAGTCACTGCGATTCAATTTGAATTGGATCAACTTCACGGAACCAGTCAGTCTGTTGAAGTCACTTTGAATAATTTTTGTGTTTAATTTATCAAACTTTGTTCTCTCCAAGGTCTACTCTGGCGCGCATAAGAATGCCAAAGCTGCTGGGCTGTCACCGAAGTCCGCAAAGAGGGCAGCACTGGATGCCCGCAAAGAGTGGCCCGCCATGGTTGATGGGTGGGCCTTTGGCCCATACTGAAAAGTGATGAAATTTATGTGTACTTCTCTGTTGTACTTTCTCTGTTGTACTGTTGGGGTTCTTTAACCCACCCATACCAATCCACAGTGGGTGTGTTGCAAAACCAATTACATCATGACGCATGCTAAGGTGGATTATTTCAGATGGCCCGCTTGATCACCCTGCAGTGAAGCGCTGCCTGACCCTGCCGGGATGTGACTGATGCTCTGGTCACTTTTTTTGTGAAGGTTTGATTTCAAATTTCCAATGTTGAAAGCTCGTTGGCCACATCATGGTGGAAACCAAATTTATTTTGACACCTGACATGGAATCTGGACCCAAAAAATAGTTCTCAATCGGTGGCATTGGAGCTTTATTTGGACATCATACAGCACATGAAATGGTGCTTGCTGCAATTTGCGATTGACCGACTTGATCGCTTGGGGTGAAAAAACATCAGAGTTGAGCCATGGGACCCCAACCTGTGGGACCCAAACCCCTAGGACCCCAACAACCGCTAGGCCCCAGTTGCATTTTGGAAAGGTGCCAGTTGCCACTGGACAAGACTTAATGTTTTCATGCCTTCCCAAAGCCATTTCAAATAGAAGATATTCACATATATTATTCCTGCCCACCCCTGCCAGTGCAGATTCTCCAATTTCGTGTGCAAAACTTGGTGTTTTCTCATGCCTTCCCAAAGCCATTTCAAATAGAAGATATTCACATATATTATTCCGGCCAACCCCTGCCAGC